CCCCGAGCTGAGTGCAGTGAGTGTCCTCATGTATTACAGTGATGTCTGTGATTATGTGATTCTTCAGTGATCCCCGTGGGGAAATGTCCTTCTCTATTCAGCTTCTTTTGCTACTTCTTCCTCGATTATCCCCACTGTAGAATGCCTCACGACTTCATAAGTCATGAACAGATCATGCCATAACGTCAGGCTCTGTTTCACAAACAGTCCGCAAATAATTTGCAGCGGAAATAGCAAAATAATGAGTTTTTTAATGTTATTTTCAGAATTGAATTTCAGTGTTGGCTTTGTAGCATTGATTCCAACTTGTGTGTTCCAAACTTTTACAATATATCCAGATTATTAGGTTCCAATATCAAAAGTTCTTATAAAAAGGTTGTTGTAAACATTTAAAAAATTCACATTATGTTTTTTTTTTTTTCATATATCCTTCTTCAATCAATATTTGTTGCCCTTCTCCCTAACCCTAACGCTTTCACTGAGGTCAATCAATCTCCTGTGTTACAGTTCAACAGCACATTGGATTAGCCTCCTGCCGACATGTATTCATGAGTAACATTCATTAAAGAGATATAACTAAATGAATCAGATGAATCACTTTATTCAAATTGAGGATTTAGTTTGAGGACTATTTATAGGGTTGTGGCATCATAAAATATGACGACTGACACTCAAAGCGTCATTTGAACATCTCAATACAAGCTTTAAATACAAAATAAAAGCAGACATATGGTACAGGCCTACTAACCAAGTGTTTTCCTGTAACTCATATTAAATGTGATCCTCCCACTCTCAGAAAGGAGGCATATACTGTAAACTTAGCTCCAAAAATAATTAACTGTTATGATAAGCCTCTATTCCAAGAGAAAATGATTTCAAAATATATTTGTTCAAAGGTGTGTATCTTTGTACTTTCCGTTGGTAAGTAGCTGCTGTTTTTATTTATTTACCTCCTGCTTAATGATTTTGTTCTGAATCTAAAACATGTCAAAAATATTAACATACAAGTAAAAAGCTTTATTAATTGGCAGTGATCAGAAAGTAGCTTGGTTGTTAAGTGTAAACATTAGGTCTTGTGTTAAATGAGCTAAAACAAAAACAAATACTGATATGCTCTGTGCTGATGCCTGTGTGGCTCTCACTGGGATTTGTGCTGGTTGTCATTGTTTTAAGCTCAGTTTCCATGGCAATATCCTACATTTACTGTTTACGTATGCACACTGGGATATTCATATTTGTGATTTGGAGGTGCGTGTAAGCAGCTTATCCTGACTCAGACCGTGATGAATCATTACTGAGAACACTCTAATCATGCAGGTCACACACCAGCTTTCTGAGTTTCTGTTTTTCTCTCCTACATTTATTTCATTCCCTCTGCGCCTTCTTTTTGTTTCATCTCTATATTCCCCCCTCTCCCTCTTCCCTTCTCACAACCTCTCCCATTGCAGAATAACACTGTTAACCTTCCCATTTTCACTTTGAATGAAGAGGCTAGACCTTTGTGTGTGTGTGCATGTCAGTAACAGATTGAGAGTCGAGTGGTATTTCTCACCATCTCTTATCACCTCTGTCTCTTTGGGGAGGAAGCAATAAGATGCGTGATTGAATTGCTCCCTGGGACCAAATGTGTTACTGAATTGTTTATTTTCTTTCACTTATCTAATGTCTTCTTCTATGTTTTAAATTGACGTCTATGTCTTTTGCTCAAACTCCTTGTTTAATATTTTCCCATTCTGTCTCTGGACTTTCTCGTGTCTCATTGGCTAAAGGAAGAATAAGAGCTTGTTTGACTCTGCGCTGTTTGATTTTATATTATATAAATTGGGTAAAATTCTAAATAAAGAATGCCCTTACATTAACATGAAAAAAATACTGATTCTCGTCTTGTTTTGACCTTTTACATGTTTAGACCTCTCTGTTCCACTGTTCCTGGTTTTCTGTTTGTGAATGATTTCTTGTTTGCCCATTTTTGTTGTCTTTCCAGGTTGGTTGTGACCGCAGCAGTGCTCTGGTACAGATCTGTGCAGAGAGAGGTTTCCAGGCGTTTGTATCCGATGCGCTCAGTGTCCCTCTGCGAGCAGCCTCCTGTGATGCCTGCATCTCTATAGCTGTCATACACCATTTCTCCACACAGGTACACACACTGAGATTAACCCTCACAAAAAACAACAATGTTCTTCGGTCACTTAACTACAACTATATTTTGGGCCCTATGAAACCTTAGGAACTTTTCTACAGTTTCAACCACAGGCTACAAGCTTGAAACTTTGGGTAAACAGTATATCCAAATTTGGGACAATTCCCTCTCAAATGTGTATCCTCAAAGGGATCAGGAACTGTTGGGTTTGGCAATACTGAAATTGACAATGTTGTATTATTCTTAAAATAAGAAGTTATACATGTGAATAAACTGTTTCATACATACATTGATCATTTATAATATTGTTTTTAATGATTGGCATATCCATTAAATGCTTTGGCTTCTGCTTCCTGACTAAGTTGTTTGTGTGTGTGTTGTAGGAGCGTCGACTGGCAGCAGTGCAGGAGCTGGTGAGACTTTTGAAGCCTGGAGGTCGAGCGCTAATCTACGTTTGGGCTTTTGAACAAGAGTACAACAAGCAGAGGTCCAAGTACCTCAAAGACCAGAACAAAGAGCTTCCTGAGAACCACAACCCAGCTGAAAACTCACCAGAAGAGAGCCAGGAACCTCAAGGGAAATCGGGTGTCCATAGCAGCAGTCATTCAGAAGACAACTACAGGACAGTAGACAACAATCAACATGTGACTGATGGCAAACTCAGTGTGCACACCAACCGCACAGCCTTCGAAACCAAGGACCTTTTGGTTCCCTGGCATCTGAAAGACGGGAAAAAACGAGTGGAGGGAGATTCAGGAGAGGGTGGGAAGACGGATCAACAGAAAGAGAAATCTAAAAAGACCTCAAGGTCTAAAGCCACATTGGACTGTAACCCTGCCACCAGTCCGGGCTTTGACTACAACATGTTTTCTGATTCAAGTCTTGACACTATTGCTGCCACTCACAGCTCTAAACCCATTCCAGGTTGCGACACATCACAGACCTGCAGTTCTGCTCTAAAGTCGGAGATCATCCCAGCTCCAGTTTTTCATCGCTATTACCATGTGTTCCAGCAGGGGGAGCTGGAGCAGCTGTGTGCTCAGCAGGCAGGAGTCACAGTGCAGATCAGCTACCACGACCAGGGAAACTGGTGTGTTATACTAGAGAAGGCCTTAAACAGATGAAGTGACACACTTAAAATTGAGCTACACATATATGTTGAAGCAAAAGAGTTAATGCAATGTAAACAAAGACTAACTTAAATAAATCAATGTAATGACTTTACAAATGCCTGCCTTTGTTGTGCTTTTACTTCTAGCATTATTCCTACTAAGGTTGGAAAGTAACATGGTCTCAGGTTTATTTCCGAGTAGGTATACGCATACAACGAATTGGCATTGCTGTAAAATGGTATAAAACACAGTTATAGAAAGTTAGGAGATATGAAAACTACTGTGAAACCATTATTAAAAAATGTTTAGAAGAAATATACAATTACAAAAAAAGGAACTAGAAAAAGAACACTACACATATTACTATGAAAAGAAATATCTGCAGTATATCAGAATTTAGAAAGTCTTGCACTGCACTTTTGCTTTAAATAAATGCAGCTTGCTGAAACATGTGAAGGTTGTAAGATGTTAAAAAGCAAGGTTGTAAACATACTCTAGGTGATGTGTAAACTTTGACATTCTCCAGAGTGCTTACACTGTAGTGAAATGTCAACAATATTAGTTACCTCACTACTTTGCTTCCTCAGTCTTTGACCTCGGTGTATAATATGAACTCACTAAGCTGTAAATGGCGTGTGCCCGACCTTTTCAAGTTAGGAGTACATGTGTAACATGGCATTTCAGGCTGTTAAGCTATTTATTCATTCAAGAAGCAGGACTTTTTCTCTCTTTTAAAAAAAATGTGTCTGCAAGAGGAAGCGCCTGATCGTAGTAGATCATTCTCCAAACCATGCATTTGTGCATTTAGTAAGAGTAAAGTTAATGTGCAGTACTTCATCATAGGTTGTGTGAGTTAAAGATTTAAAAATGAAAAACCTTCTTGATGACTTTTTTTTATTTGCCAGCCTTGAACCTATAGTCTTAAATACAACATATTTCGTTATTTGTTGTGGCCCTTCTGTGGCAGGTGGGTAATTGGTCAGCAGCTCTGACTAAACTACCCCTGTGGCTCCTAAATCCTCTGGGACCCAAACAAACACTGGTGCTGAGCAGGAGATGGTTTGGTGGCATTTATTGACGGTGGTTTATTGATTAAGGTGTAGCAAGCAGCCTACTCTGTAAATGTATGTGTCTGTGTGTCCGTATCATGGGCGTTACTTTGTTAAAAAAGTGGTGGGGACAATTTCTCCAGATTTAACATCAGCATAGCAGAAGACAAAAGATGTCCCTCCCCTGGGTGTTGAACCTTGTGCTCCATCATGAAAAGCCAATGCATGGACCACCAATACGTTTTAAAGCCATGAACGCCCAATACATGTGACTTGCTGTGATGTGATTTGGAGTGAATTTGTACCTTTACCATGAGTCAATGAACATTTATACTGACATTGAATGAAATATCTCCTTCCCTGCATGGTGTCTTAGGGATATGATCGTTCAGTGCTGAAAAAGGAATAATTCAATGTTCTGTTTCACCATGACGATATCGATGTGCACAAAACAATTATGGATATCCTACCAAAAGAAGAAGTCCCCTATTTGTATTAATTTTTTAGATTGACACATCCATTTTTATTAATGGGAGGGAAGGTACAGTCAAATATATTACATATGTTTTTTTAAAGGACTTAGTAAAGGCTTGAGAACAGCTTTAAAATCAATGTCTAAAACACGGTGCAGTATTGTACTACAAGTACCACAATTCAACTGTTGACGTAAACGGCAGCGCTTTACGACACTCGTGAAAACATTCGGAGAGTGTCATGGCGGCGCATGTAGTCAGTTTTGAGAGTAAGGGCAACATAGAGGAAAGGAAGCATAGTAAACGAGAGGCACGGCAAGAAGTGATAGACAAGGTAACAACTGTTTAATTTGTAGTAAGCAACCATATAAGTAATGTGTGGTTAGCTTTGCTTGTTAACCGTTAAGTCCTTTTTGAAAGCTAACAAGCTAAGTTGGCTAACAGCTAGTTAACGTTAGGTATGAATGAGCTCCACGGCTAAAAAGTGACATAGATTGCTATCGTTGCGTTTCTCTCCATCTCTCATTATGTGTTCCTTCACATTAACCTTATGATTACCTGTGTCTGGACAGCCCAATACTGTCAAACGGCATCAAATTACAGGACTAACACTGCTGTTGAAGATAGGAGAGCAGCGGCTTTGTTTTGTGCAGGTTTTTATGTCATGGTCACAGATATACACTCCCCACTTTAACGTACAAATCAGTTGTAAACACGTATGTACACAGGAATCTAATTTCGTGTTATCTGGATTGTGTGCAGCTGTGTTTACATGGTACACAAAGCAGATGATGCAGACACATGACATGATGCTTCCTGTGGATGTGCACTGAAGGGAATCTGTTTGTAGAGCATGTCATATATTTAGAATTGTGGATTTAATGGTTCACATAAGAGACTAGAACTTTGCATGTCTTGAAACTGTTTACATTTTGCTTCTTTATTGTATATATAATCATGTAATTAAAATATGTCAGTCATGGTCAGGCAGTATGTATCAACACCTCAAGTTAGCAATAATAAGGCACTAATGTGTGACTTTTACTAGAATCTCTAAATAAATAACTATACATTCTTGATTCTGTGTTGTGATAGATTTCTTGAACTCAAACATATCAGTCATTGTCAGGAAATATTCCCCCCCCCCCAACAAACCCAAATCAAAGAATAAAGACATCACACATACAGAATGGGGGCAAGACATGGCCGTCAAATGGTCCACTCAAATGGAGGAATTGGACAAAGTGTAGAAATTCAGGGAAAGTGACTTGCTCCTTAATAAAGAATGTTCTATTAACTCTCTGATATTCTTATTTATCCACTTGGGGTCTTGGTTTCTTAAAAAGAGTAGCATGGAATATGCTGGATTTGCTATCTTTGATCCTGCTTCCTTACAAACAATAATTAAATATATTTGTCTAAAAGGAGAAAAGTGGACATACAGGCCGTTTCTCAATCGCAAGTAAAACTGCTGCAGAGCAACTATTTCAAGTATACTACGTCATCGAGTGTCGCCGAAGGACTGTTTAAATGCAAGTTAAATGCCCAGCATTCTGCGCCACTCTATGACGTAGTATACTTGAAATAGTTGCTCTGCAGCATGTGTACTCGCGATTGAGAAACGGCCACAGTTTCCGGTTGATGCATAAATCATAGATGTCAGATTGTAGTGTTTGCTAATTTGAGCGCAGAGATACGAGTGCTTATCCACAGCCTGTGTTTGTATGATACACAGAGCAGAGGATGCTGACAAATGATGCTTCCCGTAGATGAACACTAAATGTTGTAAATCACATTATCTGCCTCGCTCACCTGTGTTTGCACTGGCCAAAGCAAAGAGTGGAGCCGGGTCTGGTTTGTTGTTCACTGTATTTGAAGAGGAATAGGCTCATTATGACTTCAAACTCATCAGTGGCAGTGCCAAGATATATTTGTGCTGCTTGAAAGTTGTTAGAGGTTCCAATATTTGCAAATCATAACTCTTGTCAGCCCTACCATGTTGTGAGTATAATGTGAAGACTGTGTCATTCCTTAAGTAATGCCAAACATGTATTCCTCTACTGACTTTATTCATCATTAACCTTGATATTTCCTTCACAAAAAAGGAGACTAAATATGAAAAAAGTAATTTGGGTGTGCACTAACTTTGAAATAGTTTTTCTTTTGAATAATCCCTCTTATTTACAATTGTTGTATTCAGGCCAAGGAGCAGTATGACAAGGCAGAAAGAAGGAAGGAGCTCAAACGGCAGAGAGGGGAGGACACCTGGATGCTTCCTGAGATCAACCAGAGGCTGCAGGAGATGGAGGAAGTAAGATACAAAGAGATTGTTAGATTGTTAACTCTTTGTAAAGTCACAAGTGTACTGTTCCTCAAACATTCATCACTATGTTGCCGTTATGTCATTGAATCCAACATTTATGAACCCTCTTACGCAGCGTCCACACGGCGGCGTGCGTTGAAGCGTGCAGGTGGGCGTGTCTGAAACTCGACCAACAACCAATCACATGAATATCCCGCCCCGGACACACAAGCACGCGGTTTGATTGGCTGGAGCTTGTACTGGCATATGATTTGGCATACTTTTGAAGCGAGCAACGCGTGGCGACACTCCCACAATGCAGTTCGGCGATACAAAATCAGTCAAGTGCCGGGAAAACTCAAATTAAATTAAAGAGACAAACAAGAGACAAACAACAAAATGAGTGCGGGACCGAACAAGAAGCTAAAGACAAACCACTTCCACCCAGAATGGGAGGAAGAATATTTTTTTGTGATGTCACATTCAAAGGTTATTTGCCTTATTTGTAAAGCAAGCGTCGCTCTGCCAAAGAAAGGTAACGTGGAGAGGCATTATCGGAGTGTTCACAAGGCATATGACAGCGACTTCCCTCCGAGTAGCGAGTGTGAGAAAGGTCATGTTTTATTGCTACACAAACATTATCTCGCAGTCTTAGTGTCGCCAACTCGTTTCTAACATGCAAAAAGACAAACAAATGCGTCTATGGTCGGTGTATTTTTGATCTTTCCAATCGAGACGAGATCTCTCTTCCCCGTCTGTGTGCGAGGGGGCGGGGCAGTTTACACACACGCAGCTGCTACATGCAGCAACACACGGCGGGGATGGCGGAGAGAAGCGCTCCAAGGTGTGGCTAAATGTTACCCGTCTTGAGGTGGACAATGCTCGTTACCAAAAGTGCAATAAGTGTTTAGCATGTGAGGGTGGTAACACGAGCAATGTGTCTAAACATTTATCAAAAGTGCTCCACATTCAGACGGAGGAATGCACCGGGTTCGACTGTCTTTCTAGCAGCTCTGTAGCCCCATCCACGAGTAACGTTTCCACGTCAGGTGTTATGTATGCTAGCAGCAGCACACGGAGTTAACTCAATTATACAAACATGGGTTAATGATTAGAGGAAACTGAGTTATTTATTTTGTTAAAGTTTCAGCTATTCTGTTTACAGTTCTGTCATCACATTATTTAATACGATTTGTTAAAACACTGTTGTTTCTTTTGATGTGAAATATTATTTATTTAATTTAAATAAAAAGCAATGTCAATTTTGTAAACAATTTGTTTAGTTAATTTAATAATATATGTATTTTTGAATCAAGTATTCATCTTTATTGTCTTCATTGTTAGTTTCCACATGCCTAAAACAACCTCAAGCTAAATCTAAAAGTTGATGGCTAAACAAGAGGGTTTGAGAAATTGTGCAAGGCATACAGTAATAGTCCGAATAGTTGATTAATCGTTTAATTAATCGATAGATTAATCGATTATCAAATTAGTCGTTTGTTGCAGCCCTATTGTAGTTATCCCATGAATAAATAAAATGTGTTATTCAGCAACCCTTGCAATTTGGGATTTTATTTTTGGTTGGTAGACCTCGGTGAGCTGGTCATTTCAAAAGTAGCTCACCAGCCAAAAAAGTGTGGGCACCCCTGCCTTACGTGATTGAGAGCTGGCTCTAGGAATAGATTGCATCTTGATAATAAAGAAAAACAAGGACAAATAACGACATCATGTATTGATATTACAGGAGGGATCTGTAAAAAGCAAAAAGAAGAAAGAGAAGAAATCTAAAAAGAAAAAGGAGAAAAAGAAGGACAAGAAGGAGAAGAAGACAGCAGGAGCAGACGATGGCTCTAAAGACAGCTCAGATGTAAGTTATTCATTTATTTTCAAATGTTGGATTAATTTTAAATTGTTTTATGCTGTATTTATTTATTAATTTCAGAGTGAAAAGTACATTTGCAGTATTTTAAAGTAGGAACATCATTTTAAGTACAGGTTTAAAGAAAAAAACATTAAAGGGGACCTATCATGCAAAACTTTTGTACGTCTTTTATACATGAATATGTGTCCCCGGTGTGTCAGAAAACCCAACCCTCTCTCTTTTCCTCCGTACCCAAATCTCTAAAAACGGGGCTGCAACGGAGCTGATACAGATTTGAATTTCTCTGACATCAGAAAGAAGGAGCTCCGGCAACTCTCCACCTATCAGGGGGATGAGAGACCGCTCGAAAGCGCTGGAGACGCTGTAGTACATATGCCAGGCCTGTAAGTGGCGCTGTAGTCTGCCACAAAAGCAGCAAAGAAGACTTCTCACAGAATCAGCCCTTGCAAAAACAGGGCTGGAAAAGAGCAAATAGAGCGAAATGAGGCATGGCTAAAATGCATGATCTGTTTGGTATTTTGAAAAAAAAACTTCACAGACATGTTTTATATAGGTATGGCCCTACAATATATGTTTCAAATATAGCATGATAGGTCCACTTTAAAAAAAGAAATCTAGGTTTTACAGGTGAAATTATTATGTTCCCATGAGCAAAGATCAGTGTCATACCGTGATTCATTGCAAGTTAGTTGGAATATAACACAGGGGAAATGTTTTTATAACAAGATTAATTAGTAATTGATTTATAACCTCTTTTTTTTATCTGCAATTGAAACAGTTACAATCCCTGACCTTGACCATGACCTCATCAGAAAAAAAACTAGTTGACTGAAAAAGCAATTTGTGTTTGCATTTCCATTAGTTTTTATAATGAAAGATCAATACTAGGCGTCCATGTATCGATCATATATTGCCATGCATGATATTACGCCCCATTCTATATCCATTTTCCTCCAGTGTGCAATTCATTACATGTAAACACCTTACAAAGCTGTGATAAAGCAAAGTCTTTCTTATACAGACATGGCGGTTTAAAACAATTGAGCTTTGGGACTTGTACTTCATTTATTAATATTCCACGCTTTTGTTTTGATAGGATAATCCCTGGTGTTGTTTTCCTTCTTCATCATCACTTTCCCCTCTCTGTTTCTCTCTCATGTCTCAGGACTCAGAGGGGGAGTGGGTGGAGGCTCCGGCGCAGACACGAGCTACTAAAGCCTGGAAACTTCCTGATGAGTCCAAACCCTCAGAGAGCAGCGTCAGCACAGCACAGAGCGTCGAGGTAACATTTCATTGAAGAGGTTTTGTCTCTTAATACAACACATGGTGAAATCAACACTATAATAAAGTCCCTTTCCACACAGATGTGTGTATAATTGTCTGAAGGGAAAACCGTATCTAGAGGTTTTTACATCTATACAGTACATGCCTTGTTCCCTTCTTCTGCTTTATTACAAAACATATGTATTGTATGTTGGTATCATCCACTCATGTTATATAAATATTTTTTTTATCGGACTGTCTGTGTTGTAGAGAGACGAATGGATGACGTTTGACTTCCTGGCAATGAAAACCACGTCCACAACAGAGAAGAGGGCTGAGAAAGATCGACTGAAAGAAGAGGAGAAGGCGAAGGCTCAGGCCATCGAACAGGTGTGTTTTATTTCTGAATGTTTCTCGTCCGTTTAGAGTAGACAACCATATGGTTCCTCTGACTCATACGGTGTCCTCTGTCAAATGATTCACATGTATCCGTGCTCAACTTGACCTGAATGTCTCTGTGAGAGCGAGATAAAGGGCGATGTTCGTGTATGCATGACATGAAAACACAGTGGCAGTCACTTTCCTCCTTTTACCAACTGTGCAGTTACCAAGGTAACAACGGGTGTCCCCTCATGGGCAGAAAGTGTGTGTGTGTGTTTGTCAGAGGTTGCGCGAGACTTTTTCGCTGCCCGTCATTTTGACGGACAGGATCGTAAAACTTCCGTCAAAATCCAGAATTACCCGTCGGCCTTTACACAACTCTGGGGGGGGGGGGGAAGCATGCTCGTGAACTGTCAACGGGGGAGGGCAGTTCACATGCGCCGTGTTATGCATGGCTGCTGCACCTCGCGTGCACAGCGTAAAGCCAAAACTCACAGACATTTCAATGATTTGTGCGGCACAGTTAGGTTTGGAAACGGTATGATTTCCTTTTGGAGGGCATGCATAACACGGCATAACACCGGAGCCTCGCTGCGCGGAAACTTTGGCGCTGTTCCGAGTTTGTTCTAATCTTTCAAAATGACGGACTGCTTTCAGATTTGTCCGTCATTGTTAAAAAAAATCCGTCATAGATGGAAAATATTCGGTTAACGCGACCTCTGGTGTGTGTGTTTAATTGTTGTCTGAATTTTTTTTTGAAAGTCTGTGAAATTATTCAGGTGTTTTTGTGTTTCCCCTTTAGGCTGGTTTGCACAAATTGGAGCTAAACCCGTTCTGGAAAGATGGAGGAACTGGTCTGCCCCCCGCGGAGAAGGCTGCAACAAAGAAAGGTAAAACTACTACACTAAAATATAGTATTGTTGTGCTTGCCTCATTGAGTTATAAGGGTCTCAGACCAGAGTTACTTCACTTATCCGTTATAGTGAAAAACAGTCGATTCTGAAGTCCTCCTCCCAGGGTTAGCTGAGGAGATGAGGCATTGGCCGTAACACTTTCATACACTATTCTCCTTACCTGATTTTTTCCTCATCCCTAATTTTCTCCCGTTGACTGTCCTTTCCCCTGCTACCGATACACCAGCTTAAACAACGCTGCTTAAATAACTGAGCCACTTGACAAGTGCATAGATAGAAGCTGGAGAGTGCAGGAGAAAGGAACATTCGTTTTTTTTTATTCAGAGATAACTTGAATACAATTATACAAGAACAAAACATTTGCTTTTCAGAGATGAGTGAGACAACAGATATGGCAAGTAGTCTGAGTCAAGAATTTGGGGGCAAAGTGAGGCAGACACACACACACACACACACACACACACACACACACACACACACACACACACACACACACACACACACACACACACACACACAGGTATGTTGTAGGAGCTACAGACATGTGTTTGTTTATGTTTGTAGGTATTTGTGTGTTTTTAACATTGGTTACACTTTGTTTTGCTTTTAACAAACATTTGCTAGTTAATGATCAGGTGACATGTGGTTGGATTAGTTTTAAAAAAGGGACAATGTGCAGCTTGAAGTTGTGAAACAAGAGCCAAACTATTCAAAAGCCACGTTTCTGTTTAATGACAGAGAGGCAGAAGCCCATTTATCACAAGTTGTTACTGCTATCCTGTCCTCCTGGCAGATGGAAAAGGTTTTATTTGCGTATAGTATCTTGACTATCTCGATTATAAAGCTTGATTGGTTGTTTGTTGATTTCTTTAACAGTTTATCGTAGGAAGTGCAGATGATTAAGCTTTGGTAACTCTCTAAAGCCAATACTCAGCTCTGACCTTGAGCTGAGGCTATGGGCAAAACATTTGTCACGTTTTATCTCTGGGAAGGTATACAGAGTGTTGTAGGACATTTCTTTCCATGGATTCAAATAATCCATTTTTCTTTTCTTTTCTTTTTTAAACCCTCCTTTCTCCTGACCTTCCTTTTTCCTCACTTACTCATTTCTGGTTCTTATTCATCAGCACACAATGACATTCTTTAGGGATTCTTCTTCTCTATATTATTTTCCAGCTTCTCACAACAAGCAACACTAACATATGTTATTCTAACTTTTGAATTAAAAGGTTTAAACATACCACTTTGTTCATTTGATTTCAATGTTTCTATTGTTTGAAACTATAACTGACTTGTTGGAGGCTCAGAATAAGTTAATTGCCTCAAGTTGTGTATTTAGTTTGTTCATGTTTGTGACAGTTCTCTCGTCTCGTTCCCAGGAAACACAGTGGTGAATGATGCCGGTCTGGGCTGGCTGAGGAAGAGCTTCCAAAGGATGAAGGAGCAGGCAGAGAGGCAGCAGCGCAGCCTCAATGAAATTGTGGCCGAGAGATACGGAGTAAGAGCTGATCAATATTCACTTTGCAATCAGAAACTATGAGTAAATATGCTTGTCAGTGACCTTTGTTTCCATGACTAAGATGAGGTGCCAGTAACGTCATTAAACACTTACTGTGATGATCTCAACATGCAATATCAATGACAAAAAAGACGTGACTAAATGTTCTTAAAAAATTAGAAACATGGAACGTGTTTGTAGATGCCTTGTTTCATTATTAATCTCTTTGCTGTCTGACTTAATGGGGCACACACTGTCCTTTGTTAAATTACATTTAGCTGTGTCAGCATTTTTTCTCCATTTGACAGCATAGAAACTGTCACAGTCAGAACACTGCATGCGCGTGTTCGTGTGTGTGTGTGTACAATTTATTTTTCTTTTGTCAGAGCTAAGCCAGCCACAGCAGTGCACCTCATTGAGTTTTTCCCAGCAAGGCAGAGACATCTTATAGTCTGTCATAAAATGGTTCTTTAAACTTTTATAATTAACATTACATTGCATGTCATTTGTTAGACGCTTTTATCCAAAGCGACTTACACACATTCAGTACTGTGGACAATCCCCACAGGAGCAATTTGAGGTGAAGTGTCTTGCCCAGGGACACAACAACATACTGAATGCAGTGGGACTCGAACTTGCTATCCCCTGATTCGAAGTCCAGCACACTACTCACTGAGCCACAGCCTCCCTCATCAAGATGTTTCTACCCATGCAGATGCTTTATTGGTATTTGTGAAGCACTTGGTTGTCTTGAAGGTGCTGTTTTGAATCGACATAATGTTAATTCTGGCAGTTCTTGTGGAAATAACAAATGAAAAACTGAGTAGATTTGAGTAGAATACCTGACACTAATCCCCTTTTTTGTTTGATTTATGTGTATCAGATGTAAATATTAACAACTTACCAATAGTATAGTATGTGAATTTAAACGTGTGGTTTTTGTTTGCGTGTAAGGAAGCCAGCATACCCATAAAGCAGCTGTTTGTTTGGCTTACAGTAACTTAGTAGACTCCTCACTACATTGCATTACGTTGACCTGAGGGAAGAAAATAAATGTGTTATTATATGTCATGGTAACCTACTGAGAATGATTAAACAAGTCTATTTTAAGTCCACGGTCTGCTGCTGTCAGTTAGATATATTATTAGCTTTGTAATATTCTCTACTTGGCATTGAACAACGTGGCTCGGATGGGCATTTGTTAAGCTCTGAACTGCAACACCTAGTATTTTAATATGTCTTTTATCTGTCCTTTACAGTCAATGGAAGAGTTTCAGCAAAAGCTTGCCGATGCTGAGATAGCTGTGTACGGACACTGCAGTGGAGGAGATGGAAACAGAGGAGCGAGAGGCGGGTGGAGGAGAGGAGGAAACGAGTCCAGAGAGAGATGGAGAAGAAAAGATGGAGAGGGGGAAAGAGAGAGAACGCTGGAGAAGTAACGAAAGGGAAAGAGATTCATCACCAACCGATGGAGAGAGAAACAATGCTGGGAGACGAGAGGAAAGGGAGAGGGGGGGATATCGCGGCAGAGAGGAAGACCGAAGTCGAGACGGAGACAGGTCCAGAGACAGAGAGAGGGATACAGAGAGGGATAGAGACAGCGAGAGAGATAGAGGAAGAGAAAGGGAAAAGGGTAGGGATGGAAGAAGAGAAAGAGATAATGAAAGAGACGGAGACAGAAATCAGGATAGAGATTGGGATAGGGATGGAGGAAGAGAAAGAGATACTGACGGAGACAGAGACAGACATCAGGATAGAGATAGGGATAGGGATGGAGGAAGAGAAAGAGATACTGACGGAGACAGAGACAGACATCAGGATAGAGATAGGGATAGGGATGGAGGAAGAGAAAGAGATACTGACGGAGACAGAGACAGACATCAGGATAGAGATAGGGATAGGGATGGAGGAAGAGAAAGAGATACTGACGGAGACAGAGACAGACATCAGGATAGAGATAGGGACAGTGAAAGAAATAGAGAAAGAGACAGTAGCAGTGTTTCTTCATCATCATCATCATCATCTGGCCAAAACCTGAGTCAACCTTCTTCCTCTCTCGGGTCACTCAAAGGTCGCTTCCTCAAACCCTCAGAAGATGATGACAGTGCTGACGGTGGGTTGATATCAAGGCCTTTTCTAAACAATGTCTGAGTCACATTTAGCTGAAATGAGCACAGGTGTTATTGGGGTGGCTACACTGTACAGTCACAGGTTCAAATCATGCTAACCCTAACCCATTTTTGAAAAAAGAGCAACAACATAAGTCACATAATAAATCAAGTTCTATCACGAATGAAATGGTAACTTGGGTATCTTTTAACCTGGACCCTGTTTTCCCATGTTCTTGTGTTTAAGTGACTCTTCTCTCCAACTCTCACTCACGTTACCACCATTTACTTACTGCAGTCACATGACACATAAACAGATGCAACGGGTAGTAAATGTTTTATTTCTCTGTAGGCTTTCTTTTCATAATGTAAGACATCGGCAAAGAAAGCTATTTTAGTGGCATGTATTGACCGTGAGGAATGCCTATGCGATCATATTGGAACCCATTTAGCCATTCTTGCCCAATATTTGACAATTTAAAAAAAAGTCTTGTCCCCGTCACAAAGAAATGGAAAAATGAGCCCAGGTTTAAAATAAGTTTTAAACTAACATGCCAAGTTTCCTGTGCAGTTCCAGATCGTCGCCGTGCTCCAGCGCGGCCGTCCTCAGGATTCCTGAAGCCCAGCTCTGATGATGAAGACTCTGGTCCCCGTAATGCCAGCATGCAGACCTCAAAGAAGAGCAGCCATCCTGCCAGGGAATCTGCCAGCTTTGAGAAACCACAGCAGGAGAGAGAGAGGGATCCTGGGAAAACTGTGACAGCTCCTCAAGACGGTCCCACTGGCAACAAAGCTTCTGCGTCAAGGTTTGAAGCTTTTATTGTATTACTCTGTAGACATGCTTAATGATGAACAACCTTACCGTATTACAGACAAGCAGCTCTTATTACATGTAAAAGGGTTAATTTCAACATCTATGTCTTAAATCATCTATGTCAGTCACTTTGTGAATATTGATGTCTTGGGATGAAAAACGAAATGTTTAGTTATCCGAGACCATATAGTGCCTCCAGGGGCGTCAGAGCTTCAAGAGAATAGAATCTGCCAGGACACTGATCTCTCTCTTCATTGAGTAAAATGAATAACGTTGCATCCAGGGCTTTTAGGGTATGCCAAATAATTTGCTTGCCATTAACACAATCCTAGAAAATTTATTCTTGGACCTACGGATCAGGTAAAGGAAGGCAGGAAGGTGCAACAACTATAGTTTAATACACTTGTTCTTAAGACTGCTGATCAACACAGAAGTCACTTCAAACTAAAATAAATCGTCTGTGAGCAGTTCCTGAAAATATACTCTAGGAGTCCAACACTGTCCCAAGATATTTATAGTTTTCTAAAACCATAAATACATTTCACCAAGTGTTTTCAGATCTTGTTTTGCCAGCAAAGCCATGTCATCAGCATATTTAAGCAAGCTAAAATGTTGATCATACATTTGCTGTTGAAGATTGAATAGCAGTGGGAGGTGAACACAGCCCTGTGGGCCGCCTCTGCTCACAGCGTCTGACATGCTCCCCCCCGACACAGACCGCCTGTGGGCGGAAGAGAAGAAACTCTCTGATCCAGAGAACCAACCCTGTTGATGTTGAGATCAATGAGACGTTTCAGGAGAATCTGTTTCTCCATTGAGATAAAACTAAGCTGAAATCCACAAATAAAGATCTCCCATATCCTTTTGGATGCTAAAGCAGTCAGAAACTGTTTTAAGGAGAGTCGGCTATCTCTACTTCTATAGCTTTTTATATGTGAATTACAGTGGACCTATCGTAGCTCCACAGTGATGGGCAAGTGTTTGGCCAGAACTCCTTCCATGGTTTTACACTGACAGTATGGAGGTCGTTGTAATCCAATCATTGTCCTATTTTCGCCTGACTGAACATGTCCATGATTTTGGCACTCTGCATGTTTCTTAGAAGGACTGAAACAACCTTGCAAAATCCTCTTTTCGTTGAGCAGCACAGTCTTTAAAAGATTGGACTTGCAACAACTTCGTCTTCATTCCCTTTTGACTGAATCTGCCGATTAATGTTGTTTCATCGCTCCAAAGCCGGTCGTAGGTTACCAGTTATGAATTTTCACTTTCTCTTTTTTTTATAATTTTGCCTTAAAGATCCCTGTTTTATTTTCTTACAGTAATTACATTGTGCCTGTACAAAACGTTTCTTATTTATTAAATCTGTAAATGTTTGGGTTTACATTTGAAATGAATCAGTCACTGTAATAGAAGTTTTCCATTCCCCTCTCACATGAAACAGGATGACACCATTATGAAAGTAGTAGCATTGATATTACATACACATAGAACACTTGGCAATGGACTTTTAAGCATTGAAACCAATATATATGTTTATGTTAACCAAAAAAAATGAATTGGTACTACTACATAATAATCAAATAATGGGAGTATCTTTATATCTCAAAAAACGCTTGGTTTACTCTCAGGCTTTAGCACATATGTTGCAATAGGAGCTTTATTTTATACACTCCTCATTCCTTGTGTAGGGAAAAGGATGCATATTTAATCACTGTGTCCTTTCAGCAGCTTGTGTAGATGTTCAGTGGCGGGTTTAATTCGTAATGTGGTCAAGCTCCCCAGATACGTTCTCACTGTAATCCCTACCATAAAGCATGTGTGTGTCTTCACATATGTTCTTAATTATTCCCTGCCTTAGCTGATGAAGTTCTTATCTACTTTTGAACATTAGTCTTGTTAGAAATTCCCCAGGCCTCTGAAGTCATATATTATCCACACGTTTTCTCCACTAACAGTTATCTTTGTATAAAGCACTTTAGTAACATACAGTTGGACACACATACAGTCTTCACATAGTTCTCAGTCTGTAGTCTACAATGTGTCTATTGCTTTAACCTAGAGTTACACCTGCAGGATAATTGTCTCATTAATGTATCTGTCTTTATTTACTTATTGACATCAACCATCAGTTAATTGATGAACGTTTTTCAGGCATTATAAAGCGTCAGTTATCTCCTTTCTCACACATTATTCACTGCTAAATAATCAAAGAACTGTAAAATAGTTCATTAAACCATTGAGTTATTTCCTGCTTTGAAAATTGCATATCTCTCTCTTGAGTTCTTCTGAATTTCATGTTAATATTATCCATGTTTTTATGCTTTATCCGCATCGTACATGGATATTTATAAGAAAACTGAACTTTGACATCGACAAGTGGCACAGGAACTCCTTTAATGAAATGATTGCATCATACATGTTTTACCACACTGTTGTGGCAGTCAGCCCCATTGGAGGTAAAGAGTGGGAGCATCACTGCTTTTGAAATCTTTAGTTGTTCTGTGTTTTGCCTCATTAGGTTAAGTTGTTTGGGTAAACCAGCAGCCAGAACCCCTGCAGCATGAAATGAGTCTGCAGTGTGGCAGCAGAATGAAATGAGGCTGTGAGGAGTGTAATAGCCTAGAACGATGCTTCCCAGGATGCAGTTCACATCCTGCCAGGCAGGGAGGTAATGGTCTCTGCTGGGGGTGCACACAGACTCAAAGGAATCATTACAGATAAACAGTCTAAGAGCTCTCCAGAAAACAACTGAATGGTTAAATTAAAAACCTCACAAATACGTTTCCCATTAGAGTGTTAAGGACTATTACGAGGGTGGAGTAATGAAGTGATTAAATACTCAAATAAATGAAGAAGTGTTACAATGCGGTTGTGAATCTTAGCCTAACTTGACAGATGTGATTATTTATTTAGTTGACTTTCAAAGGTTTTCTTGTTGAAGTTGTATGTTTATGTCGTGTTTTCGGAATGATAAAATCTTTTGTAGTCTTCACTTTTTAAAGTGCCATATCTCTTGGTTTTAGTCTCGCCTTTGAACTCTCCTCCTCATGTTTTACCTAGGAGTGACAGTGAGGAAGAGGAAGAGGAGCTTCCACTGATGTCAGAGGAGGAGATGAACAAACTGGGAGCCAAACTGGTGAAGGCTGAGATTATGGGCAACACGGTGAGTATTTAATTGTTATTGTTACTGTTTGTCACTGTATTGGGTTTAATATGAGTATAAGAACAATCAATCTAACTGGATTCTAACCAGTTTTTGAAAAATATATTTTAGAATAAGCTAAGATTGATGTCCTCCTGTTGGGAAAGTGTCCCTGAGATACAATAACTCCATAGATAAGAGAGTCCTTATCCTTAATGCCCTTTTCTCCTGTTCAATGGAAACATAAATTACTTCCGTTAAATCAGAACATAAATTCCACATTTTAGTATATTTGTGTTCATTGAGCTTTTATTTATCGTGATGTAAGTATGATTTATCTTTTCTCTGCCCATTTACTTTGAGTCTTTTATTAGCGTAACCTCAACAGCTCATCAGGGACCTATAGCCTGCATTGATCTGAGCACTTAACCTTCACGTGTCAATCCTAACTGTGCTATAGGGAGCTCTTATAGAGTGTTACAGTGCTGTCTGTTACCACACACACACACACACACACACACACACACACACACACACACACACACACACACACACACACACACACACATACAAATACACATACACACAAAACTAAGTGTTATCAACGTAACATCCAGTATCTCCCTACACGACAAAGCAATATTCGATATTCCCAAACCACTGTGTATGTGTGTGTGTGTGTGTATTAAGTGCTTTAACAGTCGTGCACTTCCCTTTTATGTCTTGTACATAAATGTGTCGATATCTATCTATCACGGTATGGCTTAAGAGGTTCTGGATGCTTTAACCAAATGTTTTTCTCCTCTCAGTCTCATGTCGTTTTACAGCCTCAAATTGATGTATCTCACCATTGGAAAAACTGCATTAAAAAAACATTTAAAACTACAATTCCTAAAAGCAGCCTTGCTGATATACAATTTTCCATATCTTCCAGCATATACATCCATTATATGTATCTGTATAGGCCTTACTTTTTAAGTAACCATTTGTAATTACTGAGGGACTTTGTGTAAATGTATATTTGTTTGTTTCAGGCCATGGTTGAGAAGCTGAAGTCCCAGCTGGACGCAGCACATAAAGCTAAAGAAAGCCACGAAGCTCGAAGACAAGAAATGGCGACTTCAAAACAGGTGTGTAAATGCAACGCGTGAAGTAATCTCCCCCAGATTAAATAAACATTTAACTTGCACTGCAGATTTTATATTCCCAGATGCAGAAACTTTCTAATGTAACTATATATTTACACTTACTCTGAAATCATGCACAGACGTTAACACATGCACACACAGGAATATATAGATAGAGAGTCACATGCACAACTGTTGACCTGGCATGCACACACACACAAACATTCTGAATCTTTCCCTTTCAGATTTGTCTTTTTCTTTTCCCATAGTCTAAATGCTAATCCAAACACTCAGGGCTATGTGTTCTCTAAACTTCACAGATGCACACACTCTCAGCATGTTGCAGGGGCATCCATCTCCCTCACTGTGCACGGAGGAAAAGTGCTTCACACACACACTTGACTCCAGATGAAAGTGAACCCTTCTGCTTTAACGTCTGACCGCTTTTCAAAGGAATTTGTTTGTTTGAAGTCTCTTCGGCTCTTGCGTCTTGCTGCCTGTATAGTCGCTTCTCCTGTTTGGCCTTTGAGCGGACCCTAATGGGAAACAAATGTCTTACAGCGTGATGACGACACTCTCTTACCAGGGGTCATTCAGAGTGTGGCCCCAAGTGTTTATGTGTGTGAGAGTAAAAAGAGAGAGAGACAGATTGAGTAGCAGAGATTACATGTGCCATCCTGTCTGTGTTAGAGGCAATTACCAGATAGCGATGGCAGTGCCCTGACACCTCAGCACTGCTTTATCTCCGCTATTCGGCGTTGCTAATGCTCTCTCTGAAACAAATGGCGGTCTATTTCCAACATGAACAGACTCCAGACAACTTTATAAACACATGGGAAGCAGGCTGTAATTATTGATATAACTTGTATATTATCATCTGCAAGTTCGGCCAGATTCATCCCTACTAAGGCTGTCCTGTTCAAATCAAAAGACCAAGGGTGCATTTATCATTAAGATTCCAAATAAGATGTCATCATTTTTAGGTTTTGGTACACCCATCAGCAGAGAGGCACACAAATAAGGCGGAGAATGGTTGATTTGAAATCTTTAGAGATCCTTTCAACCTGAAGAAGAAGAAGAAGAATGTTGGCTTGTCTTCAGTGTTTAGAGTCATTTTTAAACATTGCGTCGAGCCTTGAAAGACCGAACTGTGTCGACCCGTAGAGAAATATGTTCTTCTATCATTTTGTTTCTGACAGTCCACTTTCAATTTCTTGTGACTGCCTCCCATCCTCTCTGCTACTCCGCCTTCTTTGTGTTTCTCGGCTGTCCGCCTCTACCTGTCGGGTCCAACTTTGGTCTTCATGCACTTCAGACTGCAGTTCCTCATAACAAGCAAACTTTTGGATCTTTGCTAAAGTGCTAAACTGGCTCTGAAGCAGCGGTTGTATGACATCATACCACTGACCTTTTTTAAACAGAAGGAACATTTTTGTTTTCACAACTTTAATCCAGTTCAACATAAAAAGTATGACTATATTAAGAAAATGGATAAAGATAAAGACAGATTCATTTAGCCCTTTTAAAATTAAAGACATTATTTTGACATGAGCGAGGTTAATTGATGTGTAAGGCATTTCTATTCTTATGTAGCACTTGTTATTATAACTGCAGCTACTTTTTCTGTCCTAAAAGCCCATCTTTTCTCCTCTTGCCAAATTAGTATTGATGAATGTTCCCTGCTTCCCTTCATCAGCTATGCTTATGCTTCCAGCATGACACTGATGATTTGGGTTCTCTAAAATACAAAGGGAGACTGACAAGTTAGTCATTTTTAAATGTCACAAGACATATTGAAACACACTTCTTCAGGTGTTTTAGATATTGCATGTCAATTGGAGTCAGCCACATTTCATTTGTATTAAACATTAGCCCAAAGCAAGATGAGATTAAACCCGGTGCTTATTAATACAGTCATCCATGCTCAAATCTGATCAGCAAGTGCAGCGTTTCTGACCTTGAATAGGTTGCAGACATCGTTGCATTATTACATCATTAAACATTAGTTCTGAAGAATTATCCTTATCTTGACTCGACCATCTGTTCAAATGTCAAAAGGTGCATACATAAAAACATTTCAACCTTTTAGTTTAAAAACAAACAAAAGTAAAAAATGACCTGGTTGTGTGTTTTTCTTTTCAGGTCACCGGTCGCTCCAGTGAAGCCCAGGAACTCCTGCTGTTCAGAACTGACCAATCAGGGCGCGCCTGGCCCGTCAACGCCCCCTCTGGACCCCAGGAGCCCCACGGAGGACGACGGAAGAAGAAAGCGGTAAAGACAGAGGGATGATGGGTGGAAAGAAAGTAGAAAAACAGATGATAGGAGAGCAAGATTTATCTACAAAGGAATTCATCATGGACATTTGCTGCCCGGTCTCCTTCACTGTCTCTTTCCATTTCTTTAAAATGTCCAACACACATTATGAGGTTTTCCTCTTCTTATACCTCTCTCTTCTCCACCAACTGTCTCTAACTGACGTACCCTTTATTTAATGGATTGTTTCTGAATTTGATTTACAAAGATTTTAGGATTGTGTCTTTTTTTACATGCAGCAGCCATTTTCCGTGGTTCGCCACCTCACCTGTACTCACCTCAGTTTTCACATTCCTCTCTTTTTCCCCCTTCTCTCTTCAGATTGAGACCCATGTTGACGGAGAGCGTGTGCGCTACTTCCAGGACGATGACAATACGGGTCTGAAGGAGATGGTGAGGAGGGAGAAGATGAGCTCTGCGCAGGACCAGAACGCACTCTACTCTCGAATGGCTTCCAAGGTAGGAAACAATACTAATCAACTCGTGAAAAAAATATATGTATAAAATGCCCCTGACTTTGAGTTGTTCACCTATAGAAATAACAACCTGGCATCCATGTGCTCACTTAATTCCCAGCCTTGCAACCATACAGTCTATACTTGCAACACTCATTTTTTATTTTAAATCTGGAAACCTAAGAGCTGGTGTTATCACATCATTGCAACTTTAAGCTTCAATCATGGATTCAAACACTGTGTGCACATGATGAATAACTTTTATTCAGCTAAATGAACTAAGCCAGATTGCAATATTTTTTTAAACGTATATCTTACTTATAAAGTTTCACTTATAGAAAGTGGGAGATGCAACAAAGAATGGAAAGAGGAAGTCGATTTTTGACTTTAAATATAGAATTAATCAGAAATAATTAATGACTTTTCCCCAGCAAGATTGGTCATCATGTATTTAAGGAAATGTCTGTTGGATAAATGTGAGAAGAAGTGTGATTCCTGCATGTCCTCCCTTGCTCTTCAAAACACGAGTGAAAAGAGATTGCATGTGTACAGTACATGCATGTGCAAATTAAGTATAAAGAAAGGGGTTTGAAGGTGTTGCTATGGCAATGAAAAAAAAAGACAAAGGCTGTGTCGGCCTTTCTCCGACTTCTGCCCTCATTCAAGTGCACACACACTGCTCAATCACTTGCCCTCGCTCATATATTCATTACACATGCGTATACAAATACTCACACACACGTTCTGCTCCTACAAAGAGTGACACTAAAAATACATCTACAGTTACCATGGCAGGGCTTCTATAAATACCAGTTAAATCCATTGGTCAGAAACAACGTCTGTTAGGAGACTAGCATTGTCTGGAGATTTAATGAAGTTTATCTCTTAATAAAACATGAGTAGTGAGCCAGACATATGTCAATGTCTTCCAATCTGCTGCTGCATGCTGAATTCACCATTTATAATTGAAATTGCATCAAGAATGTGTCAATCTATTAATAGTTTTGTAAAGAAAAAAATATCAGTGTGGAACCTAAAGGTAGATAAAACATTTTTTTTGAATTAATCTACAGGTAAGTGTGTGAGAGGATGTGTGAATGTGGGTGTAAGAAAATATAACTGTCCTCTCGGAGAGATCCGGCACACTTAGGTGGAGTCCTTTGCGCACACACACACACACACACACACACACACACACACACACACACACACACACACACACACACACACACACACACACACACACACACACACACACACACACACACACACACACACACACACACATATACCCTCCCACACACATTCCTTCCCACATTGTCACTAAACTAATCACATTTTCACTCTCAATCGCACACTCCTACACAGCGAGTCATGCACACACACACACTTGCCATGCTTGCCTCTCGCTCTCTCACATGCACACAGATTCAAACCTGTTGCCCGGTCGCCATGGTGACAAGACTCAGACGTAGAAACACCAGAGTCGATGCTTGGCATCCTGCCTCACACTGTCAACACACACCAGGCACCAACTTACACACAGGGCAGCTCAGGCTCTCTCACATACACAGACACACATGTACAGACACACAAATGATAGCAGGCAGACGGCACTATTACGTCAGCACATACATACGATTGGTAAAGAAACCAGCCCGTTTCTGAGGACAGTCCTTACCTCTCCGGGTTTGCTTTTTATGACTTTTCTTTCTGAAAAATATCCATTATTTACTTTAATAAAGCACATACTTAAGTGTGCTCCTTCTACAATTTAGTTTATTTAGAAAATACGCCATATTTGTTCAAGAATGGACACCCTCCTGTTAAACTCTTCTCACCATTACGTCTCTTCTTCTCTCTTCTTCCCTGCATCTTCCTCTCTGCTCCCCTTCTCCTCTCCGTCCCCTCCGTCGTCTCGGTCCACTCCCCTCTCCAGATGATGGGGAAGACAGACGGTGACAACTACACTCTGGATGACATGTTTGTGTCGAGTGCAGCGCAGCGGGAAGGCGAGGGAAGGGAGGAGGAGAGGATGAGGAGCAAAGCCATCGGGGAGAGTCGGAGGCTGAATGCCTCCATGGAGAAATGCCGGCACTGCTTCAGCAGCCGAGAGCTGCAGAAGCACCTGGTCGTGGCGATAGGGAGCAAGGTGAGGGATGCTGCAGGATGTTTGTGGACTGAAGTCATTAGGCTCTTAACTGATTAGTCAGTCAACAGTTTTGGTAAAGAAAATCATTAATCAAGTCACTAGTTAACGCTGTTTTATCCTGGAAAAATGGCGGCAACAGCAATATATTCAATTTCCACATAATCATCTAATTATTTGATCAATTAACCATTTGGCTATTTGCTCATAAATGACGATTTTGACAAATGTTATCATTTCCGTAAAGTGTCATCTTTACCCAAAACCCTATATATGCATATATATATTAGGGATGTAACGATACTAAAAACTCACGTTACGATAATATCGCGATAAAAAGTCCACGGTACGATATTTATCGCGATATTGAAAAATAAATATTACTTGATTTTTTTTTTCTTTATTAAATAATACATCTCATTTGTACAGCATTTTAGTAGGATAGTAGTATTTTAAAGTGTCAACAATATAATAATCAGACCCTGCAATAGAATAAATGAAGTTTCACTTTAGTTTTTCAAGTAACTCAACTCTAACTCACTCACTCAGCATCATCAAGGTTACCTTTTAGGAATATGAGCATGTCCACATTTAGGTAGAAGCTGGGATGTTTGGGCGTTTACAAAATCCCCTGCTGTGGAAACAACTCTCTTGCTTGGTACTGATGTTGCTGGGACAGAGAGATATGCTTTGGGCATGGGTGACAGCAGTGGGTAAAACTGTGCATTGTCTCTCCACCACTTCAAAAACAATACAGTTGTTGCCAAGAAGGTGAGGCTTATTGACAGGGCGAGATATAAATATACTGTTGGTACTTGTCAATGTCTCTAGGTGTGTACATGTAGCCCTGTAAATACGATGTCCTTTTGTGTTATCTGTTGTTTTATGTTCATGTTGTAACCTACTTGCTGCCATGTTGGACAGGTCTCCCTTGAAAAATAGATCGATGATCTCAATGGGACCATCTGGTTAAATAAAGGTTTAAACAAAAAAAATTATTAAAAAAAAAAAATCGCTATTGAGATCAAATCAAATGAAGTTTTATTTATATAGCACATTTCTAAACGATTTTTGGTCGAGCCAAAGTGCTGTACATATAATAAAAATAGCCTACAGTAGAGACACTTTACAGCAAATACAACAGCACAGAGACATTCATTTACCGCGATATTCGATATATCGTTACATCCCTAATATATATATATATATAAAGTTTAAAATCGTAAAATAATAAGAAAAACAGACAGGTTGCCAATACATATTCTGTCATTCATCAAACATATTAATGGACCTATCATAGCACCTCCACATTGACTGTTAAGTAAGTTAAGACAATGACAAATACAAAATGTACACATGAAATATATATTTTTTATTTTGTGTGTGTTTTCCGTCTTGTGTCCAGGTCTACCTGAGCGTGCCTGCAGGAGTGTCTATGACTGAGGGCCACTGTCACATCTGTCCCCTCCAGCATCACTGCTCTGCCACCGGATTGGACGAAGACGTCTGGTCAGAAATGCAGGTCAGCCATCACTGCTTTACGTCAAAGGGCTAAAGTTTCAATGTCCAACTTCTTTTATATAATCACAATCAAATACTTCGTTTTCAAATGTTCTTATTTTAAACAAGAATGATTACAATTCACTGAGTTCACTTCCCTGCTGCTTTGCTCTCCTCAGCTGTTCCGGCGTACTTTGGTGCGAATGTTTGAGTCCCAGGAGCTCGACTGTGTGTTCATGGAAACACACATGGACCCACGCAAAAGACAACACATGGTCTTAGAGTGTCTCCCACTTCCCCGAGAACTGGGCGATATGGCACCCATATACTTCAAGGTGTGTAGTTTCTCTCATCAATCTGAATACGGAGAAGAGTAGGGGTGGATCTGAGTTGTTTGGTAACCCAAAAATGTCTGTGTGCCTTCAGAAAGCCATCATGGAGTGCGATGAGGAATGGGCCATGAACAAGAAGGTCGTCGACCTCTCATCGAAAGACATCCGCCACGCTGTAAGACCACTTCCTGTTTGCCTGTCTTTCTTTCTCTTTTTTTCATCCTGTGTGTCCAAATGTATTTTTTTCCCCTGGTTGATTTACCCTCTTTGTTAATTGTTGTTAATTGTTGTTAATTGTGTAATTCCTCTTAGGTTCCTCGAGGTCTGCCCTACTTTGCTGTGGACTTTGGACTCCAGGGAGGATTTGCTCATGTCATTGAAAATGAACATAAGTTCCCCCATTACTTTGGCAAGGTCAGTGTGTGCATTAAATATAATATATCTAACGTTATCCATAATGTGTTTTTTTTTTTAGATCTTGTTAGTTTTTACCTGTATATTCTCTCAGAGAAACAAGCTGAGCAAATGTCCTGAACTAAGGGTTCTGCATTATTATTGTCAATATGACCAAATCCCTATATCCCCTCACAGGAAGTGGTAGGAGGAATGATGGACTTGGAGCCGCGACGCTGGAGAAAAATGATAAGAGAGAACTTTGATGACCAGAGGAAAAAAGTCCTGGAGTTTGCAGGGTGGTGGAAACCGTACGACTGCACCAAGACTGCAGAGTAGTAAACACTACACTTCCATTTAAACACACACACACTAACACACACACACACACACACACACACACACACACACACACTTTGGTGCAGTAACTGTTACCTACCAATTTAGAATTTGATGTAAAATTATTTTTAGGAGATATTATCTGATAACATTTTTACTTCAATAAAAAAGAAAATACAACCTCCATCAGGTTATTTGTGGTTATTTTAATGTTAAATAAACATGCCAGAAGTGGTTTAATGTCCTCATTTATCCAAGACCTTTGTGTGATACGTGTGTAGCTTGGGGGATTTATGTATTATTGAGTTTCGAACAAATATTGTGACTTTATGGTATATTCTTTCCCTTTAAGCCGCACATACAGCTAGGCTGGTGGACTGTGAAATATCTATGAAGCAAGACCTGATTTGGAACCTTGTCTGTTCACCATTTTATTTGTACACTTCTCTTGCCAGTACTGCTCTTTCCTGCTCTCGAGCCTCTGCATTTCATGTCTTACTCTATGGCCTCCTGCACCTTGCCACTGTCGCTTCTAAGAGGTTTCAGTGTCAGCACAACCACATGTTCAAGTGTATACACGAGCAATCAGCATCCACGCCCCGGCATGCAACCTCATCTTTATTACCTCATCACTTCAGAGACCTGACTCATTTTACGGTGCCACCTAAGACGCCATGGGGCGCATTGGGTCAACTTGTAAGGGCATCATTTGTTTGAATCACAAAAGATGGAGTTACTCTTAGTGTATGTGGTCACAGGGAATCAAGATTTAGAACCAGTGTTTTTGTCAGTCTTGCATGCTCTCCAGTGTGACACTTAAAGGAGAGAGTGTATTCCTGTTTATTAATCACTCTTATCAAAAACTGAATGACTAAGTTACGACCCCCTCCACTCCACTAGGGGTCTATGCCTTTGTGTTCTGCTTGCGGGCTCTTGTTTGTGTTTCAGGTGATTAACCTGATGAGCCACACCTGGGCCGTCGACATAAAAGGCCAACACCAACCCATACTGCCCTCTCACTCTTCTGTTCTTTGTTTCTGCACGTTTTCACACACCCATACACGCAATCAATACTGATAACTGACTTCCACATTTATTAGGTTTCTTTGAAGACCTTTGGTTTTTGTGGTATTGTAAATAAATATGCTTTTGTTACACTTAACTTGTCTGGTCTCCCATCTTTGTTGCAGCCTATGAGCCAGGCCGTAACAGACTATCTCTGAGAGTTAAAATAGGACCAATTATGCAAATGTACAGGTTCATGTTTGTATTTTGTGCTTCTACGATAGTGTCTCTGCTGGGCAGTCAATGGACTGTGTACTAATGTTGTTTATATGAACATCAGAGGGCATCTTCCATCTTAAGTCAGCGTTCACTGCTTGAATATGAACAGAAAAATCCACCAACAAAAGGTGTTTGCAGAAGTCATATCATATTGTCATTTTTAAATTAAGCTTTATCTGTAATGCAGTCTTTACTGTAACACTAAAACATAAATGTTATGCTTATGCTATTTTTTTTTAAACTGATTTGTACATGTTGAATCCCTTGGGATGGTAAAGCAGGTTATTTATATTGCACAAGAGACAGAGAGGCCCAGGTTCATGGGTAATAGCAACAGAGTGGCGTGGAGTGATTTATGGTTATGGCCAATTACACTGGCTGGGGGCAGATTTATGACGAAGACAGACATTTTTCTCTCGCTGTGTCTCACACACACACACACACACATATCTTCTGTAGCTTTTATTTATTCCCTCATTTGCTTGCTTCTTATCAGGTTTTCTATTTTATTTCCTTTTATGATTCTTTCCCGTTCGCTTTTTTCATTTAGATCTGCTTAACATATTTGAAAGACATTTCTAACACAAACACACACATAAAAGCTACATATCTAAAAGCCATAGAGAGTGCTATGTATCATTTAAATTCTAAAGGTGTGGGTGCCTCTGATTTTACAATTTAGTTTTATGCTCGAGTGTGTCTGGATGAGTGTCTGCGTATCTCTGGGGAAAACCTGTTTCCCCAGAGATACGTATGTGTGTGTGTGTGTGTGTGCACGTGCGTGTGTACGTGCGTGTGTGTCAGCGGGATGAACCTCTTATCTTTCTGCATTCCACAACTTCACGTCTTCTCAGAATCTTTTCTCGGAAAATGTGTTTCGGCTCCTGGAATGTTTTGCTTAAATGTTATTTCTTCCACTTTTTTCAAGGATTTATTTGAAACATCTTTGCCCTATGTGCATGTTAATGTATACATGTGTGTCTCTTCTCATGGGTATAGATTGTATTTTGTACTGCAATATTGTCAAATGTATTTCTTTTTATTTTAAACGTAGTTTCTACTCATAAAACTGCTTGATTATTGGTACTTTGACAGTCTGCACAAAATGCTACGTTACTGCATTAAAGATAAATTCATGATTAAATGACTGACTATCATCATTAGGAAATATTACTCATGGTATTTATTATACCATAAACATAAGCATAAATGAACAATATGAACGTTTTTTGGTAAGCAGATTGCAAAAAGACTGTTAGATGCTTGACAGATCAAGATACATTTGAACATGAACAAAACAGGGTAATAAGACAGGTATAAGAAAAAAGAGGAATACAAATCTAGACATTTTACTGACTAGCCTTTTAAAGTGAGTTTTGAGGGTTGATTTAAAAAGTGTGTGTTTCTTCAATCCAGTTGGACTGCTCCATACCTCATTTCCATGATAATGTTATTAAAATGTGGTGTCATCCATGTTAAATGTACCTATTTAATGAGATTACCATGATACCCCCTGTGGTGCCCTTTCTATTGGTTCTAATTTCATGTCTGCACAGAGACTGAGCGGATGCCCTGTCTGCACCCAGCTGCTAGCGGCCTTATCTTCTCTGGAACAGTATTTTATTCCATTGCGGTGTTCGCTTTATTAAATGCCCACAATATTACTGATGGATGACAGACTGATTGCGAAGAGCAAAAGACCAGATAAGGAAAGAAAAGGAGAGACGGAGACTGTGTGTTGGTGTGTGTGTGTGGTGTGTTAGTGCTGGCTATGTGTGATAGAAAGGGAATGTGTGGGTGTGTGTTAGAGAGACAGCAGGAGCTACATTCTATCCAATGTATTGGGGTCATGCTGCTCCAGAAAGTCAAATGAATTAGGAGGCACCTCCAGGAAATTACACTGCGGTGTGTATGTGGTGCACTTGCATGACGCATCTCTCTCTCTCTCTCTCTCTCTCTCTCTCTCTCTCTCTCTCTCTCTCTCTCTATCGCTCTCTCTCTCGCTCTCTCTCTCTCTCTCTCTCTCTCTCTCTCTCTCTCTCTCTCTCTCTCTCTCTCTCTGCGTGTCCCTTTGGGGCCCTCAATGAACAGACATGCTCTGCCAATCAAGGTCAAGGTCATGGCTATGATTACTTCCAGACATGAGCATAATTCTGTCCTCTGACAGCAGACAACAGGCGTGTGCCACTGCTGCCATCTCCATTATCTGCATGGTGAGCCATATTTGTCCTTTAATATGTTGAACACATTTGGCAGATTGCCATTAATCTGTCTCATTGGCCATGCCTGTTGTTTGATTCAAATAAGGTGTTGCTTGATTTCCATTTCCAGTTTCCACCGGCCATGTCAACATGATAGGAACATGTCAATAATAATATGAAATCTTTTTCAGACTTTATATTATATGTTTTATTTTCACCTTTTTAAACAAACCAGATGTATCCCCTCGGTTAGCCCCAGGGCAAACATTTGCTGTTGGGCCCATATTGATCCTGTGTTACCTTCACCTGATACCTTTCTGCATTATAAATACCCATTAGGTAAAGTGCACACAGCAGACTACACGTGGCAGTTGCATTAAACTCAGAGACCTACCCTTCTATGCTGGAATAAGAATTTTAAACGAAAAGATCCATCAAAAAGGTTAACTTGACTTGTATCCTTATCATTTGACCTATGATACTGTGTTGACAGCTGATGGTGTTAACTCTAAAGTGAATTCTAGACCATGAAAACTAGGGGTGCACCGAATGGGAAATTCTTGGCCGAAACCGATACCGAAAATAGGAAACAGTTGGCCGAAAACCGAATGCCGAAAGGCCGAAAATTATTAATAGAAATATATATATATATAATGTATACATTTTTTACCAATGTTGTTCAGCTACCTGATTATGGAAATAGACATGATTATGGCAAAACTTAACTTAAATAATAATCACTATTATGGGTCCATAAAACATTTATTCAGCACTTTTGAATGCATACAGTACATTTATATATGTCATGTATTATTGCTAAAAAACATTATATCGCAGTCTTAGTGTCGCCAACTCGTTTCTAATATGCAAAGACAACAAATGCGTCTATGATGTATTTTCGATCAGACGAGATCTCTCCCCCGTCTGTGTGCGAGGGGGCGGGGCAGTTTACACACGCAGCTGCTACATGCAGCGGAGCACACTGCGGAGATGGCGGAGAGAACGCGCTCCGAGGTGTGGTTAAACTTTACCCGTCTCGATGTGGAGAATACTTGTTACCATAAGTGCAATAAGAGTTTAGCATGTAAGCACGAGCAATTTGTCTAAACATTTAGCAAAAGTGCACCGCATGCAGACGGAGGAATGTACCGGGTTCGACCGTCTTTCTAGCAGCTCTGTAGCCCCATCCACGAGTAACGTTTCCACGTCAGGTGTTATGTATGCTAGCAGCAACACACGGAGTTAACTACATTATACAAACATGGGTTAATGATTAGAGGAAACTGAGTTATTTAGTTTGTTAAAATTTCAGCTATTCTGTTTACAGTCTGTCATCAGATTATTTAATACGATTTGTTAAAGGCTCAGGGCAATCTCGATGACAAAGGTCAATGTCCCCCCCCCCTGTGAGCCAGCCGCGAGCATGGTCGCCGCGTCTTTATTACGTCATCACAACAACACGTTAGGTTACCAACGTAAGTCTGTTCTGACATTCGGTGATATTTTTTCGGTGCTAAAACCCTTTCGGTCGAAAGGGCCTTTTTAACCATTTTCGGCCGATAATTTTCGGTGGCCGAATATTCGGTGCATCCCTAATGAAAACAGTCTTAATATGACGGAGTATAATTGCCTGCCTCCAGGTTTTCTGTGAGTGACTTTGTTTGTGGTAACCTGTCTTTTTTATGTTTTTTTTTTATATTTGGGAATTTGGAACATGTGTGCACAATATAACTTGAAATATAATACGGTAAGATCTTGACACTGTCATGCAGTGAATGTGGGACATTTACCTGTTTTTTTCAGCTTGGTATACCCTTTTTACTCTAAAAAGCGTTTAAACTGAAAGCATTCGGTGCATTAGAAGAAGACATTTTAATCAGACAAAAACATTAACGAGAAATTAGTGAATAGCAAGATACAATAGTAAGAGTTGCAAAATGTTACAGACACTGAGGTTGTGTTCCTTGTGTTGACTTGTGGATAATTCCCCCAATTTAAGAAACGAATGCTTAACTTTAGATGTGATCTGCTCACCCATCTTTATGTCTATCTGTCGTCTGTCTCTGCATATCTCCTCTGATTGGTTGCGGTTTGTTGAACTAAAACTCTCTGATTTGTACTTCACATCTCTGATGTCCTCACAGCATCACCGGTGCGTGCTGCTGCTGGCTGTCCGCGCGCGCTCTCTCGCTCTCACCGGTGTTGCTCACCGTGTCCCTCGCGCACCTCCACTCCAGCCGACGACAGAAAGAGACAAGACGAAGCAAATACCAAGAGCAGCAGGAAAGGAATATTATTAGTGAAAGATGGAGGAATGATGAGAGGACGGTTAGCAGACGGACAGGAGAACCGCTGTCGCAGAGGACAAGAAGAAGAGGGTGGATGAGAGAGGGAAACAGTCACATCGGCTGTGATTTTGGAGATATCTCTCAGGCAAAGTGAGGGAGAAAAAGGCAACACTCTGAGGATGCCAACAATTCACCGTGTGTGAGAGGAATAATTATCATGTGTCGGAATTATTGTGGTGGACTAACATGTCGATTTTGGCAACCTTTTGTCGCGCAGCAGCGTTTCACTGTGCGTAAGACGGCTAAACACGCATTTTAGAAATACAAAATTGCTGCTAGGGGTATATTTTTTTGCAGCATCATTTGTGCTTGGCTTTCCTAAGGAGATTTGTTTTGGGGGTAAAGGAGGACGTTTTTTTATAAAGAGGCGACCCCCCACCTCCTCCTCCCCCTTACATAAATGTTTGCGTGCCGTTAGTGCTCTCTTTCTCTGTCGACCCCCCTCTCCCTCTCCCTCTCCTCTGAATAGATTTGCGTCCCACACGCAGACAGTCGCATCTCATATCCACACAGACCTGGACATTATCTCACACGCACGCAAACACACATATGCATACATAATGATACAGACAGACCTCACCCCCCTCACCCACCCGACCCTCTCACTCACCACTATCTGATGACTCCCCGGCGTAGAGGTGGACGTGGTACGGAACCGACTGTAGCATCATCATCATCCTTAACACTACCACTGTCATCCTCACCATCCTCCTCTTCCTCACTACCACCATGTCTTCGTCGTCGCGCAAGATCTCCTCGGAGTCGTTCAGCAGCTCGGTGGGCTCAGACTGCGGGTTGGAAAGCCCCGGGGGAGACGCGGGGGATGGAGGTTTGGAGCCGGTGGAGGAGATCCGAGGTTGCCCCTTCTCCTCTCTACACTCTTCCCACAGAGCGGTGCTCTGGAACGGCCGCAGCCCCGCAGAGAGACCAGCGTGTCCGGTGGTAGAGGAGCAGCCTGGACCCGGGGCCCCCCACAAGAGGGTGACCAGGAGGAGACGGGTGAACCTGGACTCGCTAGGGGAGATCCTGAGGAGACTGACCTCACCCACGGTAGGCCTCCTGCTCAGTCTAAACACTGTACCTCCATAACTATATCATTACATATTCCAAACGTGAAGTGCCATACTCATAAAGGCATCCTGCATAACCACTGGGATCCTTTGACGAAATCTCTAGTTTTACCATACAATTTGTAGAGCACTCTTCATTAATCTTTTAAAAAGGTATTGCACAATAAGATGTTATGAAGCAAATCAATGACCTGGTCTTCAGAGGACACAATTTTGATAGTGTAGTTTTTGTATGACATCAATCTGCTCATGTTGTCAGTGTTTAAATCCGAACTTTAATCAATTTTGTAGACTAATTTGTTATGAGAAAGTCAATGATGAACAAACAGAGATATGTTATCCTGCACAGCTGTCTCCAAAGTTGAGTAGGTACACAGCCTTTATTACCAGGAAAAGACATCATTCAAGCTTTTCCACCCTGTGATTATCCACAATCCCAGACAATGTCTTTTTTCAATCAAATCTGACGTGTGCTATGCTGTCTATGAACAAAAAAAATCATCTTTTCATCCATCCTTCTGAAAGCCTGAATCATCTGGCAGATTATATAATACATGTGTTGTTGTGAGGGAGAGAGAGAGAGAGAGATGCCCATGCTCTGTCTGTATATGGAGGAGTGTGACAAGTGAGCCAGTTTGTGTCTCTGTTGTATTACAGGCTGTAATGTAATAAAGAAGCTACTAGAATTAAGCACGATTGAGATGGATGACGTGTGATTGGGGCATTTGCTATACAGTAGCTTAGTCAGTCATTTTGGGATTTAATTGCATGTCTGTTAATGTGGACCCTGTCATAGTTGGTCAAATTCAAGTATTAACAAACAAATGTTAATCTGCATCAGGAAATGCTTCGGTGGTTTCAACTACAACAATCTAATTTATAGGTGATGTAATGTACATTGATTGACAAAGCAAACTTATTATTTCCAACCCTGGAATTATCTGAGTCCTTTATAGTACGAACTATACTCAGGATGTGACAGGACATGATAATATGACCCAGTTTAGATTGAACGGTGACATGAGACTTGCAGGAGGTTTAGATGAGTTTTGGATCTTATTCTCAGGGATTTAGCAAACAGTAAATTGATAAAGATAGAAAGCATTTCTCATTTTTTTCTAATCTGGCAGTTTTTAGCTAACATGGTCTCAAGGTTTATTTATGTTGGTTCCCCGCATAATGAGGAGACTGCTGTGTTTTGCTCAAAACTATGAGGCTTTGGGAACATGTTTCTCCAAATGCGTTTGCTCAGACTCTGTGGTCCCATCCCTGGGAGAAATACTGTAAATGTGGGAACAAAGTCTTTAAAGTAGAGCAGTGATTGTCAGCTTATTTTTGCCGCCAAGGCACAAGTTCACAAACATATTGACATTCAATAGCACAGCTACAAATCTGAAGTTGGTGTATATTGGAGAGGACCACTAAGGGCCAACTTCAGCTCTCGGTTGTGCTTTTGTCACAGGGAAAGTGTAAATGACCAGGGTCTTTTTTCAGTGTTTAAAGGGTATGTGTGTGTGTGTGTGTGTGTGTGTGTGTGTGTGTGTGTGTGTGTGTGTGTGTGTGTGTGTGTGTTAGGCTGGACTGTAAGAGCAGCTTACAACTCCCTACACCAGTTTTCTCCTGAAGCATCTTAATGTTTATCCACTTTGCATTGTATTATGGCACCATAAAAGAAAATACTGCTAATAGGAACATTAACCATGCAGCAAATAGACTAAAAGAAACACACATATATATCCGCTCTCTCACAACACACTGTTTATTAGCTGTTGTGTTCTCTCTCCCACACACATACACAAACACAGCCCTCTCACACACACAGTGGCTGCTTGCAGTGGCAGTGTCTGTTGTTGACGGCAATGGACCGTGACAGAGAGAACAGAGCAAGCTCTCTGTGGTTGTCTTCACCCTGACCACACTGACCCAGAAGCAAGAACACAAACACTAACACACACAAACAAATTTACATTTACATTGGGGCAAACATTCATTTTCTGTCTCTCTCCCACTCCCTCTCTCAGTTGCGTGTATACTAGGGGTGTAACGGTTCACAGAAGTCACGGTTCGGTTCGTACCTCGGTTTGTGGGTCACGGTTCGGTACGGGTTCGGTACAACAAGAAAAAGCAAAAAAAAAGTCCCAAATGCATAATTCCAGGTTTGTTGTTATTTATGTTTGAACAGTAGTGCAAGTTTCATTTTAAAAATAAGGAATAATTAAAACAGTTAAAAACAAACCACAAACAGTACCACACACACTCAGATGGCCATATTATCTATAATGGCTGATGTCAAACAAAAAGGTTTCATCAAGCTGTAAAACTAAAAAGAATGTCTTGAAAATATTACATCATGAATAATAAGAAAGTGTTTCAAGAGCGCAAAGTCGTTGAAAAACATATGCCAAAAGCTTCCATTATTTATTTTGATCTCACCGCTTTCATGTCTATTGGTTTAAACAGCGGGGATAAGCTGTTGAACTGCTGTTGTCTTTTGCCGGGCTCCAGTGATTGGCAAATCTGGGTGATGCCTTCTGATATGATTTAGCATGTTTGGCTTGTGTTACCATTAGCATACCGCACCACTGTCTATCAACGCCGACACACCGTCCGATCCACCACTCGCACTTCATCGTTATTGTAGTCCACAGGGAACCCGAAATGTTCCCACACAGCTGATTTAAAAGAAGCAGGTGGGTTCTAGCTCCTGTGTGTTATCTGAAATCGCCACACTAACTTGTCTTCTTCTTGTATTTTGTTCATTTTGTTGTTGTGTTTCTTCTTGTTCTTCATTTGTTGTTTAAGGGCGGCTGGCAAACAACTTTTAGGCGCAATACCGCCCCCTGGATTATATATAATGTAGTGGATACTGCCCTGAATGACAGACTTTTTTCCCACTCGTAAAAAAAAGGTGTATTCGTCGTGTGACTGCGCGTGCCGAACCGTGACGTCCGAACCGTGACGGTACGGGACGAATACGGATACCGTTACACCCCTAGTGTATACACATGGAAGGTGGCCATTAGCTTAGTGACCCATGATGCCGATCAAAGGCCATGAGTGTTGGCCACAAATATCAAGTGTGTGAGTGTGCATATGTGTGTCTTCTGGCAGGTCCACATCCCGATTATGTGGTCACATACTCACTATCAGAGACACGTATTTATTTTTGCGCTTTCTATGATTTCACCTGTTGAATAATATTTAAAAATCCACAAAACACAGGTTTATCTCTGTTATATATTCAGTGGAATTATAGGGTTGGGGGAAAAATGTACTCATGTAAGAATCAAGATTTTTATCTCACGTAAAAATCAATTGACAGACATCGCTCAATAGTCTTTTGTTTAAAGGAAGCATTTTTCTATTTTACAAGTTTCTGAGAAACAAAAAGGCAGCTGGCCTTACTTACAAAATTAAGAAAAAAATGTTTTTCACAAGTACTTCAAATGAATTTGTTATTAAACTGTTTCGATCTTTTCGTATTTCCTCCTATATTGGACAATTTCAATTCATGTTCCAAAAAGCATACAAATATAAAGGAAAAAGCCACAAAAATGTGTCCTAGCAGCAACCAATTTCTAAAACACGATTCCACCTTTATAATAACATAGCACACACAAATGTTTAGATCATGCATCTGTTTCAGCAGACACTTTTGTCAAGTGATTTAAAGTAAATGGATTCAACCTTTTCTCAGGCAAAGTGAGGGAGAAAACTGAACTAAGCATTTGGTCCAATCCTTAACATTAAGGTATTGAATATTTTGCATATTCAGACCCAAATATTCACCCCTGCCATGCCCATGCCCTGGCTGTGTTACTGCTAACACTGCATTGCTTCACTGTTACATTATAGCTGAACTATTCTTAGGGACAGCCTGAAGAATCCTAATAGAAAGCAGATTGCTACAGAATTGTTTTCTTTGTACCTGCTTTATTACTTTCCACAGAGAGGCCTGATGCGTCTCATGCTGGGATTTATCTTGCGGGACTCATCTGGTTTATGAGTTTCTATTTTCTTTAGTAGTGGTGGCAGCTCTCCAACTGTGCTGAAGCACCAGTACCCACTGTGCTGTGACTGTAGATCACACCAGTTCATGTAAATGGAAATTTGGAGGAGGAAGATGCAATAAAGGAGGGAAAGGATGAATCACGTGGACAGAGAGGAAGGGCAGGTTCACAGACAGTAGAGAAGAGCATGATAGCTGGGAAAGAAAGTAATGCAGAGCAACAGAGCAAGAGGAATGGAGTGGGTATTGGTGAGATTCTGCTTCCCTCCCTAGGTAAAGAAACTGAGCAAACAAAAGAGACAGAGTGGCTTGGATAAAGACCACAGGGAAAGAGAGAAAGAGAGGGGAGTGTCTTAAGAGAGACATAAAGTTTGAGGTCAAACCCTAAACCTGTAATTTGGTTGGACGTTATGTCATCTTCATGGAGCATTTCGATTTCCCTTTCTTCCTTTTGCATGCCTCTTCTCTTGGTTGCACACGGTCAACATATATACGGCGTATTTGTTTCCAATGCAAATGTCAGTCTTCAGGATCTTCCAACAGTGCAGCATACAACATACTTAGAACAGAGTAAGCAAACCATCAAATATGATAAAACAGAATGTTAATGATATACTGTACAGAGGGACACCACCATAATTACATAATTATATTTAATATATATATTTATTCAGTGACATCAATACGTTTAATTTAAAGGGGCCCTATTATGCTTTTGGGGATTACCCTTTCTCTTGTGTGTGTTACAAAGGTGTTTTTGCTTGTAAATGGTCTACAAATGCTAAAATCCCAAAGTTCGCTCTCCCACACACTCCCCCTCTTCCTGAATCGCCTTAATTGGACCCCTTTTTTTCCGGTACATAGTGATATCTCTTTATAACACTTGCATTTCTATTGGCTAGCACTCCAACACATTGTTTGTGATAGGCTAAGGGGTGGGACATGCAGTTGACCAATCACCAGAGACCACAGAGCAGACTGGGCTCTGGCTTCAGACAGAGGGTGAAAAGAGGGGCTGCAGCAAAGGCAGTATAAGGACAAATAAAGCCCTTTTTGAACATCAGAGCGTGTAATCTTGTCACAGTAGAAGAACAAAATACAATTGTGAAACCTGAAAATGAGCACAATAGGGCCCCTTTAATACCATGTTTCTGTTGTACCATTTTATGTTTATATTGTCCTTTTCAAATCCTCCCAGTGTAGTGTGTGTTTTTAACAATCCATCCTAAGAACAAGGCAATCTGCTAGGTGTTAGCTGTCAAAGCAGTTGTGTGTGTGGCTGAGTGAGATCAATGTGTGATGGGGTATCGAGTTGTGTGTACAGTAAACATGCCAGCGATTGCAACAATGCCGACTAATGATGATGTATGTGTACGGTATGTTTGCACATGCGTGGCTGATAACAGGTAGTGCCTGTGTGTTTGGTCATATTGGAATATTGTGTGCGCACCCTGTAATGTGCATGTTCTGTGGTAAATGAGTAGCTGAATCAAGGACGCAATAGGAGATTATCATGAGAAACACTGTTTCTGGTTTGCACGTGCACACAGCGTGGGGGATGGGGTGATGTGGGGTTTTCCCTCATAAATACAAAGACTGTGAAAATAGCTCATCTTTCTCCTGCTGTTGCTGGGTTTACGACGACTAGCTAAAAGTGAACATATTTTTGTATCATAAGGCGTGGCTCTGACTGCAACATGATTCTCCGTTAGTGTTGTTGAGGATATGGATATAAATACAGTGTAAAGAAAAATGAGTCAGCACTGAGAGAAGAGAAGCTCCAAACATTTGCAATACCATTGGTTAGCTACAATATGACGTCTATTTGTTATGTAACCTACTTCATATTCACCTTTTGAAACATCTGCTGACTGACGCACATATTGCACACACACTCCTCTTTCTCCTTCATTTTTCACATGCCTAATGTTTTTGCATATGTGTGTATGTGTGCGTATCTCTCTGTCTCCCTCTCCCTGTCTGTCCTCCTCTCCCTGTCTGTCCTCTACACACACATACTCACACAAACTCTGTATCAGTCCGTAGTGGGCGGAGGCCTCAGAATGACCTCTCCAGCTGGCACACTGTGTTCCAGTATTGTCACTATAGCCTTGCATTTAAAGCCGTATCACAGATTATCACATTTGACCCGCCTCTCAGAATTTAGGCTGTCAGTACCGCAAACTGCGCCATCTACACACACACCACACACACACCACACACACACACACACACACACACACACACACACACACACACACACACACACACACACACACACACACACACACACACCACACCACACACACACACACACACACACACCACACACACACACACCACACACACACACAACCAAATTAGGATCTGTTTTTTGATGGGAGAAATTGATATTGTTCACTCGATGATTAGCAGAACTCAACAGTTTTATGTTAACAATGTAAAATGTCTTATATGACACAAACAATATCAAATGAAATTGATGAAAGTAATCATTAGATCGATAAATGGTTCATTTGTTGGTTTTTCTAAACTTTTAGTTTCCACAAGACATATAGTCTTACAGAAATACCTTTTTCAGAGCAGATATCTTGTCTCATAAAGCCAAGGATTTACGAATAAAATGAACACAATGAGCCTTTTCTCTATTCAGGTGTCCTAGTAAACCATGAGAGTCGAACAGCATGCCACATTATTAGAATCCTGAAACTGTAGCAGCTACATATTATCATTAACTTGATTATTTACACCTGTGTTCTTTCTGCTATGACATAAAAAAAAAATGTCTCTCAAGATGGTGTGGAGTCAGGAATCAATAATAATTGCAAGTACAATATTGTTGCCTAAATGCACTCACAAATACACATATTCTCGTCTCATATCCTCACTTCTTCTTGCAGACACAGACTGTTCAGGAGGCTCTCCAGCGAACTCTACCATTTCTACAGACAACAAGAAATCCGGTAAGGCTCTCCTCGCTTGCTGTCAGTCTCTCTTCCTGGTTTTCTTTCTAACTAACTCCCCCTCCTCAACCCATCAATCTTCAGTAGACACTCTCTGTCTACCTGCTGCCTGTTCTTGTGTCCTGAGAATACATTTTTACTCCTCCTTTGCCCTTACTTTTCTGCTTCTGCCTGTCTTTCTGTCACACACCTGTTCAGTTACTGTGAACAAAATCAACCATAAGCAAATCATATCTCTTCTGTTGGAAGAACATATAGTAACGGCGCAAAGGTTAGAAATGAAGTGTGTGACTAGAGGGTCTCTGGTCTAATTCCAGACTGCGACAAATCTGTGTGGGAAGTACAGAGCATCACTTCCTCTCTTATTACTTCTGTGGGGGGTGACCTGAGCTAATTTCCCTGTCCAGCTTTTTCTATGGATCTGCTCAACGACAAACACATTTTAAACCTACACAGGCTAATTCAAGTGTCAGATTACCCAAATCATAATCATTTATATTTCACATAACCATAACGGTATCTATCCATGAGTTTTCCCACCACCCTCACCAAATGGATTTTATTTCAAATGTGTATTTTGTTTGAAAATCTCCCTGTACAGGTACATAGCTTTAGAAATGTTCAGCTGCAATTACAGAAAAAAGCTCAAGTCATGTTAACCTTTCAGAATAACCCAGACATGTCAAGAGTTGTTTTTACTGAACAAATAAACCTAAATAACTGGTGACAGCACAGTTTGTGGTAAATTAAATTAAAGTGGTAAACAATCCAATGTCTTCTGGCACAAAAACACGCAAAAGAGCGCCCCTGATGGATGTTTATTAGCTTCTCATTACTTTATTAAACCTTATATTTGGTGATCTCATGGCTAATACCCTCAGGGTGTTTGTGTTGGTCTTTGACAGGTGTCAGGAAGTTGGCAGTGAGGAGAGACGGAAAGAGAGGAGAGATGAGAAGTGCCCATTCTTAGAAAATTCAGGTTCGGAAGAAGATGTCCTACAAATCCTGCAGTACATGGCCACCATACTGGGTAAGTAGTGCAATAGAGGAACATGTGCATGTCTTATTGTGAGCTTGACATTGAGACTTAATGCATGTGTGTGTGTTTGGCATCCTCTGCAAATAAGTAGATTTGGTAATGAGTGTGTGTACATATTTTGTATATCGTTTTCATCCCTTTGTAACTGTGTTCTTTTTAGTTGTGTTGCTTTGGATGGATTTTACTGTGTTGTATTTATCACATGCCAAGACACATAGACAATGCTTCCTTTCTTTCCCCCCCATGCACATCCTTCAGTATTAGTATGGTGTTTGTGATTGGGGGGGGGGGGGGGGTGTGCACACCTACACACCTACACAATTAAACAGAGCCATCCCCAAAAGGCACAACCTCTAAAACACACAGTAGACCTTTTATATTAAATAGGGAAATACAGAAAAAAATGTCCACAGTATCCTGGCCAAGGCAGTGCACATGCAGACACAAATACACAGCTATTTACATATGCAAAAACACACACACTGTGACTCACTGTAAAGGCTTACACAGTCTCTAAGGCCTCCCATGAAAAAAAACGAAAAACACACACACACACACACACACACACACACACACACACACACACACACACACACACACACACACACACACACACACACACTGTCCTGCTGAGTCACTTAGTACATTTCTGTCCTCCCTCTCTATTCTCCCTGGCTCTTGTCTACAGTATTTACCTCCTTCTAGTCCTCCAAACTCCATCTCTGTCCCCATATTGCAGAGTTGCCACCACTGTGTGCATTAACTATACACTACTGTTTGTTAATACCTCTGTCCTTGAGTCATCTTCTTATCTGTCTTTATCTGTCTCTTTTGTCAGCTCTCCGCCATGCTTGCAGTCTATGTGTAGTTATAGCACCTGTTTGGCTGCAACTTGGTACACAATGTTTATCTGATACAGCCCTCCATGTGCGTTAGATCAGTCCTCACTATTTGCAGTTTATCTATTTATCAATCATGTGAGTCATGGGGGCAGAAGGCTAAGCAAGAAATACAGAAATCCAGTATTTCTCTCCGGTCTTCCGTCTCTTCCCCTGGGATTCTGAGGTGTTCCCTGGCTAGATGCGATATCTAATCCCTGCAGAATCTTATCGATCTGCCGGGGCTTGCCCTCCCACTTTGATGTGCCTGAAATACATCCACATGGAGGCGTGAAAGGAGGCCTCGCTGCCAATAATGCCGTCTGTGCCCAAACCACCTCATCTGACTCTGAGAATTAGCTTTTTCTCCTAAAGGTTGAGTCATAGCAGGCACAGACACATTCTTAAATTCCCGTTTGACCTCTCTCTACACACTGTGTCATGATAAACTGATCTGATTTCATGAGTTCAGTTTTTAAAATGTACTCTACACATAATGTGTCTTTTAGCTGGTGAAGTGACATTTTAGAGGAGCAGTGAGCTTTTTACAGGGTTTGGCCCTTTGGTCACTGCGACACAAACTAATCACATTAACACACATGCAGATTTGTGTATGTCAAAGTCATTTTTGATGTGTCTAAGTTGAAAATGTTACCATAAATGATCTGATAACGTTTAACAAATGTTGTCTTCAGTATCATTGTCACTCCTTTGCAGTTATTTTTTTATAAGCCTATATGGTTGTTCCCTTTTATGTCCTTATTCATTATTTCTTTGAATGAAGTAAACAATTTTTGGCACATTTTGGGATTTTTATATTTGTGATATCAGGTTTTGTTTATTCCAAATGTCAATTTTAATTTAGCTTTAATCCTTTAATCCTATTTCTTTCTCATTATTCAGTTAGTAGGCATGTGACATGATTATTTTATCTTATCAATATTCATTATTTTAGCAACGCTTTGATGTTTGTTTACTCTTAACACTGTTCTGTGTTTGATAAGCTCACAATTAATATGCTGAATTTAAATTGTTGTCAAAACATATAATTGAGCACAGGCAGCTCTTACTCAAAACTATTATACACACTCAGTGGAGATTTCTGCATCTTACAATGATACTGAAACACAGTGACCCAAGATGCAATTCTGCCTGCTGCTTAATGACATGTCAAGCACATTTCTCATGTCCATTTGCAGGTATTTGAGTGTAGTTATCTGGATGTGTGTATGGAGGCATGTTAGGTGTATTGTTGATAGTTTGTGTGTGTATTCTGTATTATTTGTGGATAGTTTGTCTGTGTATTCTGTAATGCTGACATTGTGTTTTCCTTCTGTCGCAGGCATACCATTCTGTGAGCTGCGAGAGCATTTCGGAGAGGAGTTCTTTGGCCTCTGCTTTGAAGAAAATGAACGAGTGCTTCGGGCTGTAGGCGGCAACCTCCAGGACTTCTTCAACGGCTTTGATGCCATCTTGGAACACATCCGCACCTCCACGGGTCGCCGGGCCTCATCTGAGAGCCCTTCTTTCCAGTGCAAGGACCCCTATGAGGAGGAGACAGGGAGAAGACAATTGGACAAAGTTGGAGAGCGAGGAGAAACGGATGGAAGAGGGAAGGAGTTGCTTCTTCACTGTTTCAACCCGGGCCCTGTGGTTGGATTGGTCATGCCAGGGTTCATCAGAGCTGTTGCCAGGCGGATCTTTTATTCAGAAGTTGAGGTGGAAGAGGTGCCTCCTCTAACTCCCTTATTGCCCAATGAAGATACAGAACACACAGACGGTGACTCCACAACCCCAACCCCAACCCCAACCCGACTGTGTCCCCCACCGCCTCACCCTCGTCGTCCCCGTCCCCGTCCCCTCCCTCTCCTTTCCAAACCTCTGTTCCCACAGTTTGCTTGTCCTTCCAAATCCAGGAGACAAGCCCTCCTTCCCTCCCCTCCCTCCCAAATTCTGTGCCGGTGTGCACTAAACGCCCCCTAGTCCCACTCTCCACCAACCCCAGCGATCTGCGCATCGGCCTGGCCACGTTTTGCCGTGCCTTTCCGTTTCACCTCGTCCTGGGGCCTCGCATGGAGCTACTGCAGCTCGGAGAAGGATTGAGGAAACAGGCTCGCATTGAGCCGCACCGGTGCCACGCGTTCAGGGACTGTTTTGAGATTGTCTCACCCAAGATGGAGCCTTCGTTCAAGGGCATCCTGCTGAGGCTTGCATCCCCGTTTACCATCCGCACCAGGCCTGATATCACACAGTCTGGCACCAAGGAGAAGGTAATAATATCATAACAGATGACACTTTTACTCAAATCCTACTTTCTAACAACATATTATAGAGGATTATTGCAGTTTTAGTTAGTTGGTGACTGAATTTTTGTTTCCCAATGTAAATGTTAAGGCTGTTGGTATGTTGTTTTATATTTATCCAACAAAACTAACTCTATCACAGTCAAGTGCAGAACTTTTTGTACTGTGAAATATGTACAATAATCAACATCTCTCTTTAATTAAGACTTTAAATTGTTTGTTTTTGAAACAGGTGGAGCACAAGAAGGCCACACTTTCCTTTCATTTCCAGTTTGTTATATAATGTTTCTATCAGATTCAAGACAGAGTGTCTGGGTAATATAATTGATTTGCTCTAGTTCTTGGTCTTGTAGGCAGGGAAGCGTTGTTGTTGCATACTATTTGTTTGGGTTTACCTTCTTAAAAACAAAAAAAAGCAAAAAAGATAATTAGATTGTTGATGAAATTGTGTCCACACTGACTGTCTTTACTTGTCATTCCAACACATGCAGCACACCACACCACACCACACCACACCACACCACGGCCTTGGATGTTTTTGCATTGCAGGAATGAGTTTTAATGAGTTTTAATTTGCCAGACACAATCAATCAGTGTTGAATGCTATATCTAGTTCTTTATTAGTTGGATGGTCCCCGCAGGCTGCCAGTGTCAGTCCCAAACACCCCGATGCTAAATAGAATTGACAAGGCGAAGAAGGGTTCAGCCACAATGCGGTGATGTGTGTTTGTTTGCTTGTTTATAAATGGGTGAGGCTTAGGTAGCGCACATATGCGTATTATTGTATTGGAAAGTAAGTATGAAAGTGAGTATCCAACTCTAAGATACAAGCTAGTTTCTAATAGTTTTGGTTACAAATTGAAGCAAAAGGTACATGTACTGACACACTGATAGGGACATCGCACGGATGGTTCTGGTGAAATGGTGTTTGTATATTGCAGAACCACCTTCATACTCAAATGGAAATGCTAGTGGGTGTTGAGCTGTTGAGTGTTCATGTCCAGTATAAGCTGCTACACACTCTCCCCAGGACAAACAAACGAACAAAGCAAACAATCAATATATTAAAAGTCAGTTTATCGATATTTTTGAAGGGCATGTTTTGTTCCAATTGGATACATTCATGGAAATGTAGGAGTCCAAATGACACGGGCATATCAAATTGATTTGTATCAAAGAGTACTCCAATGCTTGCTAGCATTTTTGGATGCTAGTGCCAATGACAGCTTTCAGCCTTAAGTTAAAAACGGTTCCTCTCAGTTGTACTTTGTGGTTGTTGAGGCTTTTGAAGATTTGTTTAAATATCGCTGTTTTTCTACTTCTTGTGATCTTATGCCCCGGCCACATGAGGACGAAAACGGCCGTTTGCGTTACTGTTTAGTGTCATATAGACCATTCGGCCATACGAGGACGACCGAATACGGCACTAAACGACTGAGGAAACGATAACGGGTCCCAAGGTGGATAGAACGGCATACGCAACGCTCTGGGGGGTCCAACGGCTCCGTGTGTACGCCCTATACATGGCCGTATCTACCATTGAGGTCACCGAGGTCCGGACCTCGGTAATATTTTCCCAAGCTGTGTATAACAAAACTTGTGAAATAAAATTGCACTAACCGGCATTCTTTGTAGTACTTCCATTTACTGACCATGGGGGCGCTGCATAACTACGTAGCCTCTGTTAAAGCAAACAGAAGAAGACGATATGTATCAACCGTATCAACAAACCTCCGTAGCCCTGTACCGGAGCAGCGGAGGAGTGATGAGGTATCTTAAGATCTGAGTCCAGCGGGCTGCTTGTGTTTCTGCTCATCAGGACATCTTATGACCAGCAGATCCTGTGTGAACGCTCTACGTTAGTCAGTGGACGTCCGACAACATGCACACTAATTTATATTGCAGCTATAGGCTATACTTTGGTTTAAATTGCGTGAATAAACTAGCTAGAGAGCTAAAGTTAATTACGTTCATCCAATGTCAGAAGGATGACCTTTTAACAAACGTTGTAATGCTTTTCTTTCATTTCAATTTGAGTAAAACATTGAAGATATAACATTGTATTGTTTTCTTTTTACACTGACTCAGATATAATGAAAAGACTGTCAGTCGAAGCTCAGCTTTGGTGAGGAAGAGACAGGACAGGCAGAGAGAAAGAGAGAGAGAAAGTGATGGAAGTCAGGGAGGAACTGGAATCACACAAAAATAATGTGGCTTAATAAGCCCATCTATTTATCTATCTATGTATCTATAACAATAGTCTTCATTTACAATAGGCATAATTTTAAAACATACATAACTGTCATAATAACATACAATTGTATAAAACACAATTTCCTTACATCTTTGTTCTCTTTTGAGAATCAAACAAAACAGATTTAAATAAAAAAAAGAATGCAAACAAACGAGTGAAATTAACTAAATAGCTGAATTGCTTTTAATTCACTGGCAGGAGCGACAAGTGAGGAGGAACAAAAAGTGAACAACGAGGGAGAGATTGAACAAAGAGAAAGAGTAGAGGACAGAGAGAGTAATGAACAGGAAGAAGACAGAGAGAATAAAGAAGATGGAAGAGAGGCTGCAGGTTATGGAAAGGAGAGAGACATGGAAAATGAATGTTGACAATGTGTTGTGATCATTTTAGCCTCTTCTGCATGTCCAGATCATTAATAGTAACAATCAACTGATTCTTATGTATTACACTTTAAAAATAATTTATGCTGACATTGTCAGCCCACTGACATGGGTTGAAATCAATATATTATCCAATTTGTGACCCCACACAGGACTTAAAAAGCACCTAACTAGATCATAAAAATCTCGGGGGGTAACCCGCGAACCCCCCTAGCATGTTTGGACCTCGGTATTTAGGAAATCCTGGATACAGCCCTGGCCCTATACGATCATTTTATGTTAATGATGAGGCAATAGCCCCACCTCTCCCCACCTCTGCTGCTCACCCCAGCGTCAAAGTAAACTGCACACTGAATTCAGATTATTTATCTTTCTCTCAATATGGACATAAACGCGAGTGAAGTCTAATCTGACAGGACGGAGACACGCAGCTCTGCTCACCTGCAGCTCCTCCCGCTGTGATGCGGCAGTGAACGGAGTAAAACACACACTTCAAGTCAGATCATCACCCTTAGCTATTTTATTTATTACCTCTCAAACTACCTAAACTAGTTATAAATATGTTTATTTTTTACTGTCGGCCGAGTCACTCATTACTGGATCAGCTGCTGCATGAAACAGACACTGGCGCGCTGTCCGAAGAGAGGGAGGAAAAAGAGAGGCTCCGTGTATTTTATTATTATAATATATAGATTCGTTATTCATTTGTTTTAAAGCTCAATAAATAACAAAGAAGACCTTTGACCGGCACTTTTATAATTTTGTCGGAAGATTTAAACTTTAATACACGTTGACTGGCGAAAAACTCTGCCCGGATCCCTCGGCCCCCACCGCGGAGAATAAACAGAAGGGCAACCATGACAACCATGCTTCTTCGCTGCTTTTGTGGAGGAAGTTACAGCGCCACGTACAGGCTCCTGCATATGTACTGCAGCTTCTCCAGCGGTTGGAGCTAAACGGAGCGGTCTCGTGTGGGCAGACACTATCCGGATAACTATTGCGTGTGGACGGAAGCTTGTTTGCGATTGCGTTTGCGTTAATCCTATGCGTTTAGCCGTTTTCGTCCTCGTGTGGCCGGGGTCTTAGTGGTGTCTTGTCTAGCTGGAGGCTGATTGTGTGAGATGAGATAAGGATTTAACCCTGTTTTGTCTGCTCTGGTAGGCAAAGCATCAATATGAGGCACAAGGCGGGTGACTATAAGTGAAATATGAATTGGAGGGTATGAAGGTAAATCATTATTCTTTACTCGTCTCATATTTTTTTAACATCTGTGCCATTTCACATTGGTGTGAAACTGGCCCAACGAATGGAGAGAATATTTCTGAACGTCATGTAGTTTTATACAGAGTGATACAATGGGAATAAACTGCACCACAGATCTGCAGCCAAAGGCAGATGGTGCAGTTAAAAGTCTTGTCCTGTGTCAAGTTTTCCTCTCATAGCCATGTTTGCACTAGTGTCTTCATTGGCACATACATATATCCCACTTACAAATTCACATGGCACACAAACAAGGTAGAACACATTTCTAAACAACCCTCATACAAGTATTATTTTCACATCTTGTAAAGTATTTTTTTAGTTTGTTGCCAGATGCAGGATGATAGGAGGGTTTAATTTCAATTCATATCATTTCAATGCCTTAGAGAGTTGTCTATGTCCAGGATTATAGAGGGCAAAACATCTTTGAGAATTATTCACAGTTGTTAATATAGTAAAAGTGGTAGTAGGCAAGGCAAGGCAAGGCAAGGCAAGGCAAGTTTATTTATATAGCACTTTTCAACACAAGGCAATTCAAAGTGCTTTACAAAAAATGAAAGAGATTAAGAAAATGGCATTTAAAATCAGTCATTAAAAAGAAAAGCTAATAAAATAAACATTAAAAGAAAAAATACATGGATAAAAGTTACAGTGCAGTCAATTAAACATTAAAAGAAAAAAGTACATGGATAAAAGTTACAGTGCAGTCTAAGATATGAATAGTTCAATTAAAAGCAGCGACAAAAAGAAAAGTCTTCAGCCTGGATTTAAAAGTAGTCAGAGTTGCAGCGGACCTGCAGGTTTCTGGGAGTTTGTTCCAGATATTTGGAGCATAATAACTGAACGCTGCTTTACCATGTTTAGTTCTGACTCTGGGGACAGAAAGCTGACCAGTCCCTGAAGACCTGAGAGACCTGGATGGTTCATAATTTAGCAGGAGGTCAGAAATGTATTTTGGGCCTAAACCATTCAGTGCTTTATAAACCAGCAGCAGTATTTTGAAATCTATTCTTTGACACACAGGAAGCCAGTGTAAAGACTTCAGAACTGGAGTGATGTGATCCACTTTCTTA